CTCCATGACGGCACAGAGCTGACACCCTCCATGATGGCACAGAGCTGACACCCTTCATGACGGTACAGAGCTGACACCCTCCATGATGGCACAGAGCTGACACCCTCCATGACGGCACAGAGCTGACACCCTCCATGACGGCACAGAGCTGACACCCTCCATGATGGCACAGAGCTGACACCCTTCATGACGGTACAGAGCTGACACCCTCCATGATGGCACAGAGCTGACACCCTCCATGACGGCACAGAGCTGACACCCTCCATGATGGCACAGAGCTGACACCCTCCATGATGGCACAGAGCTGACACCCTTCATGACGGTACAGAGCTGACACCCTCCATGACGGCACAGAGCTGACACCCTCCATGACGGCACAGAGCTGACACCCTCTATGATGGCACGGAGCTGACAACTGAAGCCACCTCACTCTCTTGATATTTACGTGCACAATAATTAAATAATTACGATTATCGGCATTTCCGTCGTAAATGTAACTTTTTCCACCGATGAAAATATTCTGAACAAATTATAGAGCAATTATAGAGCCTCTCAATAGAACCAATTATAGAGCCTCTCGCCACACCAATTACAGTAATCCCTCGCTATATCTCGCTGCACGTACCACGGTTGCTTCTCATCTCGGGTTTTAACGGAATATAAATGGGAAAAATCGTTCGCCGATCTTCGCTGATTCGAGGGTTGCAGAATCAGTTTAAAAAAATTATGTACCTAAATCTGAAAACATAAACATAGAAAATCCTAAAGTGTAATCAATTCATGAAGACTTTAAACAATGAAAACTAACAAACATATGCAATTTATATATATATATATTTTGAAAAAGTACTATCTGTCGATCAATTCCCCATCGCGGCCGAAACGTGAAACGTAGCGCCCGCGATATGTGAGAAATTATTGTGAGGCGGGAAGACCTGCGCCACCAGGGTAGAAGAGCCTCGGTGGGGAGAAGAGGCTTGCTACGCGGGGTTCCGCAGGCTAACAGGTCCCTTGAGCGGAGACAACCAGGGGCAAAATATGTCCAACAGGCACATTGAGTGGGGAAAATCGAAGGATAAATAGGGACCAAGGGCCCCTCAAGTTGGGGGGGGGGGGCACGGGGGGAAAATAATGACAACGGGCTTCTTGAATGAGGATCCGCATGGGGAAAAATAAGGACAGCGGGTCCCGTGAGTGGGGAGACATGGGGGGAACATAGGGACAACGGACCCCGTGAGTGGGGAGACATGGGGGGAACATAGGGACAACGGACCCCGTGAGTGGGGAGATTTTCCTTTCTCCCTCTCCCTGTTCTGCCACCGCAACCACCTTTCTCCCTCTCCCTGTTCTGCCACCGCAACCACCTTTCTTCCTCTCCCTCTTCTGTCACCTCAACCACCACTTTCTTTCCCTCTACTGCCACATTGAACACCTCTCTTTTTCTTTCTCTCTTCTGGTTGAACGATGTTCTATGCACCGGATGTCACAACAAGTTTCTTAATATATTCAACATGAACGGAATAAGACGTCCAGTTAGCGGAGTAAAATGCGAGCGCAAAGCGCCGCAGGTTCCCAGGAACAATTATCATAAATCATACTCCCATTATAAACGATACTGAGAATATGATTTATATTGGCCTCCCTGGTCAATGATAATGACAACAAAAATATCAATAAGAAAGTGCCGCGGGGTCATTGGGTGGGCAAGAAGATGAGCAAAGGCAAAAACTTTTAGTCATAAAACGCTTCCCAAGTTCCCACATCAATCAGTAATTTTCACCTTGATGTGGGATTTCTTCATAATCTAGTTTTTAGAGTATTGTGAATTTACGGCGCGCATCTTGATTTCTTATTATCGTTTAAACAAAATATTTACTGCGCTAACTTTGAGGAGACTCATATCCGTAAAAGCTTACGCATGCGGGATAAATGTGCACCATGAATATTGGTCTGGCGATAGTTGAATGCTGGCAGTAAACACCGTAGACTTGTCCACGTACAACATGAGTACGGCGATTGCAGGAAATTTGCTGAAATCAATAAACCCCTCTAATACTAAGCTTCATTGCTTGCTCGTGGCCCTCCTAATCTCAGCATTTAACGAGTATGACTTGAGTCTCTATCCTGTACACTCTGAAAAGCCTCTCTCTAAAATGTTATAAGGAAGAGGAAAAATTTCACATTCAGAGCTGAACAAGGAATCTATTAAGAATAAATTCAAACAGCAAATACTACGGCGAAACATGGACGGAAAGAAAACTGAAGGAAATGAGGTTTCAATATCACGCAAAATAGAGCTCACTTATACATTGAGAGTGCAGTTTTCCTATCACAAACGGGACTGGGCAGTGGGCATATCATAGCCAAAAATCGCGCGGCTTGCAAGTCGGGCGCTGGAGGCTTTGGCCGAAACATCAGACCAGGCGGCACCGAGAACTGCAAACTCTCGCGGAAAGGATGCGCGAACTCATCTGCAGTACCCGAGCATCTTTCCTCATATGAGCATTGATCTCCTTTCGCATTTGTCAAGGAGGTACGACACAGTCTACGTAAGTGGGTGGCTACAAAGTAAGTGAGGAACAGCAGAAAAATGTATGCTTAATAAAATCGTGAACAAAAATTGCATATTCAATGTACATTGAAAAAGTTGTCACATGCTGTTAAATTAAATAAGTGTCGACGTAAAAATCTTCATACTCGTCATTCAATATCACTTCCCACATGATTTCATTAGTGAGCCATCTCCACTTCTTTCGAATCTTCCCTAGAGATGCATTTATTATAATTTAAGAAAATCTCAGAATTCCCTTTTCACTGCTTTGAAATTATGCGCACTTGTCAACATTTTTTTTCAATTATTGTTCACCTTCGGTCCAGTTCGGGCGTCCGCAAACACCACCAGGTGTATCACACCTAACCTAGCCATGCAGTTGCGAGGAACATCATGCTGCATTTACGTAGTTAGTTCAGAGGCAACTTTTCATCCCAAAAATTTTCATCATTAGTTCAGCTCTGCTAGTGCAGTAGCAGAGTACCTCTCACTCCATCGAACATGATGCTTTGGCTCCCTAATCTTAGGTCCAACGAATATCATCTTGAAAGAACCAAGAAGCAGCTAGCAAGGTCCTCTTTTTCATATAAATTAATTCATACGAGCGTGTGTGTGTGTCTCTGAGCATCGGGTACGAGACAGTAACTGACTCGCAATTTGAAATGGAATTACTGCCCGATCTAGTTCAGAAGACAAGGTTTATACCTGAAAAGACACATTAACATGAGGCGCTGAGTAGCTCGAGAGCAGATGCTGACAAATATTTACGGAATAATTGCTAAAAAAAACTATTTCATTGAGAAACAGGGTTTAAAACACGGACATAAGCAATTTTCATTACAAAATCAAAATAGGCTAGTGACATAAGGTAAGTTCGAACAATTTGAATTGCCCAATGCCCATTACAATGATAAAAAAAGCTAGAATATTATTAACTAACTTTGCTTGCGGAATTTTTCTAGAGGAGAATCGGTATTGACCACGATGACATCATTGGCGTGATCGAAAACGATTGACGTTAAGTTGGCCAGGACGCAGTTAATGTGTCAGGACAAAGGATACGCAATTTCCCTTATATTAATCCTATACGGTAGCTTGTTTCAGATGGATTTAGCCACTAATCTACAAAGAGATGAGTTTGTGAGCGCAAATAAAAGAAAGCAGGAATGTACTCACCCCGGATGCTTCTAAAGCGCAACTACCTGGCACTAATCACTTCTGAGTTTCTGACATCTGAACACTGCTCATTAAGCTTTCCAATTATTTAAAATATACCTATATATATAAATATTTATACATCACATTGAAACAAGTAACAAACCTTCACAAGTGTATCCTTGGCCGATAATTCCCCACAGAAGATCAGTACAGTGATGGCAATACACAGGTTTGTGGAAGGTTTTCTTAACGAAACAATGAGCTGTCTGGCTAGAAGCAGCAGCTGCCTGGTTATGGTGGTGTTGGGAACTCGAAGATACTGAGGTTAGAGCCATGCTTGCGTTATTCGATGAAGTTAGGTTTGCGGTCAAATCTTGCGTCGTCATATGACTCGACGACTTTTGCGACGTTGATCCAGGCTCGTTATTGTAGGCGTGTTGTTGTTCTAGCGTACTGGCTTGTAGTTGTAGCGTGTGAGTTGGCTGAGGTTGAGGTGTGTTTTCATGAAGCTGCACCGGAGCTTGAGCTGAATGTTGCAGTTCCGTTTGCTGGACTCGGTTAAGACTGCTAGTGTGGCTGCTGCTGCAGGAGTTGGAAGTGTTTGTATCGTCAGGCGTTGAGCACAACCAGCTGCTGCACCAACGCCACAATCGCCGGGTGTGTTGGTGTGGCGGAGTCGCCCCCTGACGGGTGGCTGCCCGTCAACAGGGCGGCGGGAGCGTCACACCGACCGGCTGCTCGAGCCTGCCTATCACGCCAGCCATACCGAGAACACTGGCTCAGCTTCAAGTCAACAGCCCCAACGGCTGCTGCCGCCTCTCTCTCTCTCTGGCTGCTGCCGCCTCTCTTTGGGCTGTTGTCTTCCCTCTTTTAGCCGTATTCTTCAATATTTTTCAACTGCTTCTAGTGTTGAATACCATCTATAATCCTTCAATAGTTCTACGCCAATCTGAAATTTAATTCATTAAATCATCACACTGTTTCTCAGTAAATTGTTCATCTTCATTTTAGTTGATAATTTTTTTACGTCGAAAACCTTACACTGTAGACTGCGGTCACCTTAAAGCTTCCACCAGTGAAAAATTATATGCTTAATGCTACTATAATCGCCCTAAAAGAAGTGAAAGTATTTTTCGCTATTAGTCTCGTTCTTTCAATCACATTTCAATTTAACCCAAATTATTACGAGTTGAGTAGCAGTTGCAATCATCCCCACATGGCATGGCCTGATTATAGAAAGTTGCTCACCGCGTGACGCAAGTTGTAAGTTGTCAACGCGGGCTGCTGGCACACACGGGCGCCGTATCGCCGTCGGACTTTACGACACGGTAGACAAGTGAGAAATAAAGACCTTAACCAAACAAAAGAGACTTAATACGACAAGAATATGCATCATCCTTAGTCCATATAATAATCGTTAATTTAAGAAAACCATCATTTTTTTACCGTGTGATATCGCTTCAAATGCAGATGTTAAAAGGGAAATAAATGATCAGTATTTATTTATTTCAACCTGACCGTTGCATGACGCTATATATAAACCGTAACGATGTTGTTACACGTGTTGCTTTCGGTGTCGTTACTTACAGTTCTTGATAGTGGATTTTAACACACATTTGAACACTTTGAGAAAATTTAATTATTGACGTAAAATAATTTTGACATATCACGAAATAATTGTTCGGTTGTCTACGTTCATCAGCATATTCATGAGCGCATAATTATGTCGTTATAAGTTCTAAAGGGGGAATGCAGGGACAATAGTAATTTATTTTCATTGCGTATTGGATGTGGATGTTCTTCACATTTCCAAGAAGTAGGCGGCTTGTAGCACCCCGAACATGTGCTTGTCATCCCACACAAATTCAGGGAGTGCGAGGGCTCTGACCTGCGGGTCGGCCATGCAGTTCTTCCTGCGGATTTCAATGACGTACATCATGAACAGAGCGAGGACGTGCAGGACGTGCGACCTGAGGGGAAAAGGTGTGAACGAATTTTTGGATAATGTGTCAAAATACTTCATATAATTTTTCAAACTTCATTGCATTGGGTAGCTTGAATTATACAACTCTTCAGTAGAATTGTCTCAAACATCCATTATTTATTTCGAAATTATTAACGCCAAAGAACTCTTGTTCGTGTGGGTAGATTCTTCATCAAACTTCTGCTATCGTTTTAAACTTACTTCAAACCATAACTTTATAGTTATCTGTGAGTTTTATTGATGAACTATGGAACACGAGATATGAGTAGTACACAGTAATCTCAATGAAAAGTGAACTATCGTTGGATAATTTCGCAAATTTGAGATTTATGCATCTAATTTATGAAAAATTTTCAGGATTATTTTGTGATTTCAATGTTGAACATTAGGACATCAATTATTAATGCGAAGAGCTTTCAAGTATATGTAAACGATATAAATACTCACGGAGTTTGAGGAAACCGAATTTCTTGAACTTCGTCCTCGGCGAACTTGACGGACTCGTCGAGAATCCGTTCAATGACTCTAGAGACTCTGGCAGCCTCTTTGAAAATTATAAATTCGTGGTCATCTTCCGCCACCAGCGTAACAAATGCACTCATGGACCCACAGCAGGTGGGTTTAGTTTCAAGGACACTCGCCAAAACAGAATCTTTCTCCTCCGGCGAGAAAAAACCCCGCAGCTTCCCGGTTTCCGCTGCAGGAAAAACTTCGACCATTGGGTCCAAGTTTAAGTGGTTCTGCGTTGGGCCAGGTCGTCTGATACTATGCCCTTGCAGCGCGCGCTTCCTCTTCGCCCTGGGATCGCAACTATTTCCCAATAATTCGACGCCTTTTTCGCTGTCGACGTAACCGTCGCAGTCGGCGTTTCCTTCGCTGCGGTCTTCTTCGGCTTTGTTTCTTTCGCCGCAACCACTATCATAGTTGCCTGTTTCGGCTTTGCCAACACCAAGGTTGCATTTTTTGCTGTTGCCTCCTTCAACGTTGTCTTCTTCGCCGCTGATTACTCTGCCGTAGCCTCTTTCGGCTTTGCCTACTTCACCGTTGCCTCCTCCGGCACCGTTCCCTTCACCGTTGCCTCCATCGCTTTGGCCTCCTTTGCCGCGTTCCCTTCTACCGCTGACTTCTTGATCGACATCGATATCATCATAGACCTTTTTCGCGTCAGTATGAGGTTGCCTGCCAGCACTGACGATGCTGCTCAACTCAGCGCTGGGCTGTACAGCAGAACCATCTATCTGTTTATCGCTGGATGCGATAGTGGAATCAATTGGTTTCCGAAGGACGGGTTTGACAGCAGACGCAACTATCACACCAGAGCCATCCGAGACGTTAGGCGTCACATCGGCAGTGGTTAGGTCAGAAATTTCTATACTGTCATACATATCGGACTGTCTGAAAAAGATTTTAAAGGTGAGTGAATTTTAAAAGAAAATTCATGTCATTTTCTAGGTAATTCGAAGAAATTAGGACTCAAAAATAATTAGCCTTCAAAATCCTGACATCAACCATTATTAGCTAATTATTGGAATAGCGATTGCAAGTTCAACAATTTGCATGCATTACTCAATACTAAATCCAAGTCGTGTTTACCAAGCTAGAAGAACCTTGGATTTTGTACCTGAACAAAATATGGTGCACGATACTGCCGATAGTTAATGTTGGGGTATGCCCTATGTAGGTCGCTTGGGCGCCCAGCATCACGTTTGCTCCGTAAGGTTGTGGCTATACCCTGAAGTTTTGAGGTCTCTTAATTTAACATGCACTTTTATGGTATTTTCCATGTACGTCATATTCTTATATAGAATTAAAGTATATCAGATTTGGTGTCTTTCACCCCGATATTCATGAAGAAAATTAATACCGTTTGCATGTAACCTAACAGTAGCCACAGACCAAAGGCCGCTAAGAACGTTTCCCAACTCAGCTGAGGCCTACCTGCCAGTGAGGGTGGCAAACAATATTCAGTACTTATATAAATACTTATATCATCAGTCTGCTTATATAACAAGTTCACAAGGAATTTAAAAGCAAAGAAAACGCCAAGCAAATTCCACATATCGAAATTGAATAAGAAAGATTATTCCCTATAGATATGGTGAATTTGCTTGGAGTTTTCTTTGCCTTTCTAATTCCTTGTGAAGTTGCGATATTCAGTACTGTAATGGTACACGTGAAATGTGCTTTGGCAGATCACGTCTAATGTAGCAGGTTCAGAAAGGGACGTCCAAAATGAGTAAATGACACATGAATGAACGAGACTTCTCGACGAAGCGATGTCGAGGGATCAGACAATGATCAATTTATATTTTCAATTTATAATTAACATAAATTTCATCGAGTGCAAAAAAATTGTTCCGCTTAAGGAGCGGGTGGCAGTTTACCTTCACACCTTCACGCTCGCTGACGGCTATGGACCCTGTTGAATTTTCACAAAATGTTGACGTCAAAAGACGTCAACAATAGGACGTCTTTTAGCTGGTACGAAACAGTCATACACATAAGCGCAAAACTTGGCAAAAACAGCGCATCTCTTATTTACTCTTATGCAATAACACGTAGCAATGGTGGCTCTTCACGTACCTTGTTTCTTTTGCACTATTAAATTTGGACGGCTATAGCCGTTCGTGCTAATTGGACCAACATGCAAAACTAGGCGAGCGTGAATGTGTTAATTAAACAACGTTTTGTCTCTTATAAACGCCACAAGTGACGTGTGAATGACGAGATCGTGACGTAGACACAGAGTTTTGAATTAGGTACTTTGAAGTTCGCTTTAGTCATACGCACAATAAATCAAGCGTGGGCACAGCCTTCTCATATGTATACTAAGTATTACACGTATTAATGTCACTTATTTGCTTAAATCGCAAGTTGACTAAAAATTTAAAAGCAAAGAATAGTCCACAAAAATTCATATCTCTATAGAAAACGTTTCGGAGTCCAGCTCCATCGTCAGTTCGTAGAATCTAGAACATACATAGAAAGTCACAAGTTAATACAATTGAAANGTATACTGATTAGTCGTAAGACAGTTTAAAACCGGTACCAAAAATTTAGCAAGTTTAAAACTAGGAGTATTATACGCGGCAAAAATTGGTCGAAATTGAAACTTAGAAGCAAAATCAAACTTGTGAATTTTAGGTAAGCCATATAAAATACCAGGGCAAGAACCAGAGGTATAAAGTTTAGTATAAGTTTCAGGTGAAAGGGCAGAAGAATCTTTAAGTTTACGCAAAAATTATTGATTTTGTTTTCAACTTTCAAAATTGTTTTACAAACACACGGCTTGAAGCCATGGCGCCGTAAATCTCCGCAGCTAATGCTTAAGTCAGAACACGTTTTATGGTTTTGTATCCCTGGCATGGATAGAGCTGCCTCCACACTTAAGCCCGCGTCTCCATCTTGCTGCAGCCAATGAGGTTAGGTATAAGGTGAGGTCCGGTAAGAATTTGTTAGACTGGAGAGTCGGGGTAAATGTGGAGGGAGACCATGCTGGGAATCGCAAATCCATGAAGACTATGTTGATTGAACAGTTGTGCCTGTGGGCTACCGGCACTATGGCTTACACTCAACTTCATTGGTGACTACCCTGTGGAAGCATGCTTGCGCATTGGAGGGAATATTATAGTGATGGAGGTAATGGGCAGTGTTGCTGACCACTAACATGAATCTCTCCTTCTAACAAGGCCCTATAGCCACAATAGTCACGTAATTTGTGAATCAATTCGGAATAAAAAAATCACAAGACCTCAACATGATTGAAATGCCTGCAGAGGCATTTAATAAACAAAGTGGTTTTTGAGGGGATATGGTGAACACCTGGTCATGTAAGTGGAAATCCAGTGTTCGTGTTATTTAAATCTTGTTTTAATTACAGGACATAAGAGTAATTTTTTATGAAAAGATCATTGGTCATTGTCTCATTGAGCTCCTTGTGAATAAAGCGTAGGTAATTCTGACTTTTGTTCATATTTTAATATCAAACATAGCTTATGTATAAGCCATACTCATGGCTTATACAAGGTCCCAGAAGGATTACTAGAATTTGAAACAAGAACCAATACCAGGGGCCACGGCTATAAACTAAAAAAACAGCGTATCAAGAATCGGCAACAGGCCATGGGCCTATTTCTTCAACGCCGACACTTCTATTCTATGTAAAGTTGTGAAGAAAGGCCGAGTCATGGTTAAACTATGGGCTGAGCAATGATAAACAATTATAGGCAGGAACTGACTTGACCGCAGAGTTGGGGTAGAAAACCATGAGAGAGAGTTGGTTTGGTTTGGTGGGCAGGGTGGCCTAGTGGTTACAGTTCAGAGTACCAGGATCGGAGCTGAGAGGCGCGGGTTCGATCCCAGCTCTGTGCGCCAGTTTCTGGTCAGAATCGGCAAGGAGGCCGGGCGGTTAAGCACAGCAGAATTGTAGCAGTGCGTTGCGAGTTTGAGACAGCAAAATGCTGTGAATGTTCTGCGATGTTAAGAATCGGCGACAGGCCTACGGCCTACTAAACGCTGAAACCGCTATTATTATTATTATTATTATTATTATTATTATTATTATTATTATTATTATTCCAGTTCGGAATGGCCAAGGGTATCGAAAGGGATTACCCTTATGCATGGTTGAACTAATACAAGGTTGGTCAACGCGCAGCTGCGCCTTGCGGATGTTATTTGTTATTCCAACTGTGACGTCACCTTGGCTCTTGTCACGTCACCTTGTGACGTCAACTGCTTCGTAACTCCTGTTTTGCTTAAAAGCTTAATATAAGACTAGTTGCTGTAAATAAATATTTTGGGCCATTTTAATGGGAGCGCAGCCGTGCGCCACCAATTTTGTGCACAATAAGCCCTGAATCGAACGCCTTGGATTTCTCCGGACATCCACCAATCAGCCGTGAACCACTCGGGTTTGTCCTCCTCCGGCCTTGCATAAAACCTGCCGTGCACCACCAGGCCGCGGATCAAATATGACTTCAGAGCATCGTTAAATTACGTAATTTTACGTTCACCGCATCTGGGGTTAGGTTTCAGATAGCATAGTTCAGTTCCAAAATTTATCGTCCTTCGACGAGAGGCCGTTCGACCGAGGGCTGGTTCGACGCATGGCCTAAATACGATTGTCCACAAGTGTTGAAAGCTACGTTCCGGAAGGCAGGAATCATGATGGTCCATTTCATCCAGGGCAGTGGTGGTCTTCGGCAGGCGACCCATTTTAATGAGGTCTTTTTTTCATGGTTGAACTAATACAAGGTTTTCCCACGTGTGGCTGCACCTTGCAGATGTCATTTTTTATTCCAACTGTGACGTCACCTTGGCTCTTGTGAAACTGCTTTGTAACAACGGTTTTGCTTAAAATAGGACCAGTTGCATGCAGTGAATAAATTTTTTAGGCCATTTTGATAAGGTAAATTTTTTTTAAATGCTTTCAAAGTTGACATAAAGACAACGTGTTGATCTACACTATTTACATTTTAGGCCTAAAGGTGACGTCACTTTAGAGATGCGTAGAACGGCGAAAAATCGTCATCGCCGTGGGTCAACCTTATATAGTTCAACCATGATCCTTATGGAACTCGAAACTGTCGTGGCGTATCTTGTTAGGCTTACGTGTGCGCGACGTCTGCATGAATAAGGACCCTAAAATTCGCGATAAAAGGTTGTTCTACTGCGGTACCGTCAAGCCACTATGGTCTGCAGCTATCTTCACATACGTTATGATACGTAGGTGACGGCCCTGCTTGTCGGCTGGCGGGGCAGATATAACGGCCGCGCTGAACTTCCAGACATTCATACCAGTAAGACTCTAATATGACCATTTCAAAAATCTACAAGGAATGGCCACTACTTCGGCATATTTTTGTACTGTCAACATCAACACTGCTGTTGCAACTCAGCCGTGAGACGTCAAACGATCATAACGCCGGCAATTAGAAGATTCAAGCTTTCGAGCACTGAGCAATTATCATCGGTGCGGTAATCAACACGATACGGTCACAGTCATCGTCAGTAGCGGTACGGTAACAATCACCAACAATTTAAGTTCGGCAAAGAGCTTTGAGTAGCATCATCGACGATGAAAATAACTCCATTATGCATAAGCACGGTCGCCTTCTAAATTATACCGTTAGAACGGCCGAGAGACATCAATTTAAGTTCGAAGAATACGGCTACGAAAACAGAGTTACTGTGAAAAGCGACCGCGGGGGTGCGTGGCTATAAGGCTGCGGTACGGCTACTGGAAGTACGGCCCCAAACGTGTGCGTGTAGTACGGTCGTTTACGACAGTCGTTCTACTCAACGAAGCTGCAACGGATCAACGTTTCTGGTAAATATGGAGATTTTAATGATGTAAACAGATAGATTTATTTCCCAATGTAATATTAAATGTACCAGTTTTTCATTATAACCTTCCATCGCATTGTACGATTTTTGCCGTAAAATTTCATTTTCACTTATAAACGCAAATACTACGAGTAAAGCCTAAGACGCTAGGGTCGCTACCTGACTAAATCAAAGCAACTGCCGATCAATAATAAAATTATACCAATGAAACCAATCTTCAATCGTTTAAATTTTAATAACCTATTCACTCGTTTAGCTGTGCAACTTTTGCATGAATTTCAAATAAAAAAATTACACAACTGAAACACCAGCAAAAGAAATTGAAAAGATCACATAACAGAAACACAAGCAAAAGGTGTGCAGAATTTCGTGCGCCAAGTTGGAACGGAATCTATTCACTTGGTAGGGTATACGTGGTACATGAAACGATATCAAGAATTTGAAAACAAAGAAAACAGCCAACAAATTCACTATTACTTATGAGAGAAAACGTTTCGGAATCTAGCTCCATCGTCAGGTCAAAAACCTAAAACATAAGTTTCAAACAATTAGTAAACTAAAAGTCACATTGAAGATATTAGAACATAAATTGCTATATGTAACCAACACGAATGAGGTAAACAAGGGCAGACAAACCTATCTGTTTACAATTTCGAAGGGATATGAACTATAGGCGGCTTTTAAACTGGGCTTTTGTTTAAAAATATACAGGGACTCTAAAATTCGTAGGTCAGAAAAATCGATTGTGGAGGCTAAAACTCTAAAATCACAATCGGACACCGGGACGTTGCCCTGCTCGGCATGAACGCGTACTGCTGAATGAGGGGATATGCACAAGCAGGTTTCCTATTCTAATATGCTCGTCTCTCATTCTAGTACACGCTTACAGTACCCCCAAATATGTTTACTGCCGAACATGTGGAATGACATCAAAATAAGCGTAAAATGTTGTTTAAATTTGAGGATATATTAAAGTTGTGTCGGGTCATTTTGAAACTTGTAGAAGCAATGAGGAAAAATAGGGTACGCACACAGTGAAAGCAGGTTTGCCCAAGCGGGCAACCTGCTCCAACCTGCCACAAGAATGAACATAGGATAATAATGTAAGTGTAAGTGTAATAATGTAAAACCTGTACGAATAGGCTTCTGTATTCTATGGTTTCTTGCGCCAGCCTGAGCAGGTAACCAGCACGCTGGCAACCTGCTTTCACTGTGTGCGTACCCTAAAACTCCTTCCCATATGCTCCGCCAGTCTAGTATAAAAATTGCGTGATGTCATACCGACACACGCAGATGCGTACTGCGCACAACTATATTGATAAACTAGGGACGATCGCATAGGAAATGGGAGTGTATCTTTATACCAGAAAAATACATGATTTTAAAATTATTCACCAGCCATATATGATGATTTACATTTGGGAGGTATTTAAAGAACAAAACTTTCAACTCATTAGCCATCGTCTCCGAAGCGGGACCAAAGCAAGGAAATTAACAATAAACAGCGTAACTGCGTAAAAATTAAAATTCTGAGTACATGGCATGGAAAGTAAAGCAAATGCCAAAGGCCGCGGTTTGTTAACGTTTGAATCTCATTTAATTTGAAATGAAAAGAACATAAGGTAAAAAGGCTTGTCCTTAAGACGGTAAACGTTTTACATAGTACCTTTCCACTAAATGGGTTTCAGTCGCAATTGGGATCTACTCAAATTAAGAAATTTTTGTCTAAGTCATATTCGCAGGTTGTTCCCGAACGTGACAATGGGAATGCTGTATATTGCTCATTTTCTTACTTCGGTCCTGCTTCGGAGAATATTGCTAAGCAGTTGAAAGTTTTGTTTTCTAAATGACTCCCAAATGTTAATCTTCATTCTTCATATCTTGCTGGTGAATAATTTTAAAATCAGTTTTTTCACGACTATAAAGGATACTGACTGTTCCTATGCGATCTTCCCTAATTTATCAATATAGATGTGCGCAGTGCGCGTCTGCTAATATCGGTATGACATCACGCAATTGTTATATTAGGCTGGCGGAGCATAGAGGAATTTGTTTTAGAACAGGAAACCTGCTTGCGCATCCCTCTCATACAGTAGAGCGCGTTCATGCCGAGCATTGCAATGTCCGGATGTCCGATAGTGATTTTAGAGTTTTAGCCTCCACAACTGGTTTTTATGACTTGAGAATTTTTGAGTCACGGAATATTTTTAAACAAAAGCCCAGTTTAAATGCCGCCGTTAGTTCGTATTCATTGAAATTGTAAATAGATAGGTTTGTCTGCTCATGTTTATCTCTTTCTTATTTGTTTCATTTTGAAATTTATGTTTTAATGTAGAATAGTCTGAATAGAAGTGTCGGCACTGAAGAAATAGGCCCATGGCCTGTTGCCGATTCTTGTTCATAGAATATAATAGAAGTGTCGGCACTGAAGAAATAGGCCCATGGCCTGTTGCCGATTCTTGTACTTTTCGTGACTTGATTCCACAAGGGATCCGGCCTTCGAACTCGATCTTTCCATAACTGACGAATTTATTGAGATAGCTGCTGGACTTTTTGCAAGGCTCGTTAGGTGCTAGGCATTTCAAGACTGAACATATGCTCCTGCATAGCTTCGTTTAGACTCTAGTCTGTTCTTGAAGGCATTCATTCTCGGAGCGTCAACGATGCTATCCGGGAGGCTGTTCCACATGTCGGTGACTCGAAGCGATAAGAAATGTTGTCGCATGGATGTATTACAACGCAGATTTTTTTAGTTTATAGCCGTGGCCCCTGGTGTTGGTTTTTGTGTCAAATTCCAGAAATCCTTCTGGGACCTTGTATAAACCGTGGGTATGATTGTATACTTCAATGAGGTCACCACACGGAGGCTTGGAAGCATCATAATTTTTAATCTTTCTTCACAAGGCTTGCCTTTTAATCCCGGAATTATCCTTGTTGCACGTTCTTGAACACTCTCGACTAAATATTGGTCCTTTTCTAGTTTTGGTGACCACACTGCGTTTCTAAACTCTAGGGTTCGGACGCACGACTGCGACAAACATCAGCTTCATCGCTTCTGCATCGATGTACTCGTATGAGCGTCTGATCAGTCCAAGTCGTTAATTGGCTTTATTAACTTGACCTTCAATATGCTTAGAAAATTTCAACTCATTGTCAAAATTAACTCCTAAATCTTTTTCCATTGTCGACTTCGACATCATCACTCTGTCGTTGCAACCATGTCTTCTCATACTGCAATCTTGCTGTTAATTATTCTTGCCAAGGTGGATTACTTTATAATTGTTAGCATTGAAACGCAGCTGCCATATATCAGCCCAGTCAACAAAACTGTCAAGATCACCTTGCAACTGTACTTTTTGCGACGTATTCTTCACTGTATTATAAATTTTTGTGTCGTCAGCATACATCGAGCAAACGCTAGACACAGCTTCTGGCAAATCGTTTATAAACGCCACAAATAAAACAGGCCCGAGAACGCTTCATTGTGGCACGCCGCTGCGCACTGAAGCCCAGTCTGATACGGTCCCAATAATACTGACACTTTGTCGTTTCCCTACTAGAAAAATCTCTTATCCATTTGAGTACATTACTCTCAATTCCCAAAGACTTCAATTTACGTAACAGCCGCTCGTGTGGGACACTGTCAAATGCCTTGGCAAAATCGAGGTACACTGCATCTACTGCTCCCTTTCGTTTAGCAGGCGGGTCCATTCAATATCTTCAATGTGAATCGTAGTTTTCTAATTGTTTACACTTGAGTTTTAGGTTTGTGAACTGACGATGGAGTTGGACTCCGAAACGTTTTCTCTCCTAAGAGTTGGTGAATTTTCTGGCTGTTTTCATTGCTTTTAAATTCTTGATAAACTTTCGTTTTGAGCAATCAAGTAATCTTAATTCTTATATCCGATGAGAAGATATACGTTTACGGTTTTACTATGGTAAACAAGGAAATCGGTCGAGGAAATATAAGAAGACTCCAGCAGCTTTTTTGTCCTTTATGGTATGAATGATTCATTTAGGCACATACTATATGGAAATTCGTAAACTTACATGCTTTTCCTAGGATTAAGTATTATCATTTTTTCTTATGCAACTGCATCGCCGCTGCAATAAATCTTGTATGGTCTCACTGAGTTGAATAGAAAAATTGCAGTTCTCTTTTTCATATTGAAAGGTAGTTTGTAAATCTATAAGGTTTTTTTTAGTTAGTTATATAAATTAATGTAATTTGGTAGAGGTAATTAATTACATTTATTTGTTAAAGTTATTCACTGCAGGGCAAGAGTTACGAGAAATTCCAAATTGCGGTTCTAGCGAATTGCTCTTTGAAGGGAAAGCCTTTAGTCTAAACTGAGTTTAGTATGATCAAAAAATTAAAAACATGGCGACAGTGAGCTATTTGTTTCCTATTCGTCAGGTGTTTGTAGTCGTTTCGTGTTCAAAAATGTATTTTTATTGAAGGTCATCCACGTTCGTAGAATAATATTAATAATTTAATTTCTTTATTAATTTTAATTTGCAGTATCAAGAAATGTGGAAACTGAAAATCGATCTAGGAGAGAATAAAGATTTTAGAATGTGCATGGGATGATGACTGGTGCATACCGTGCATTTCTCATGATTTCTGTGACTGTCACTGTGCAGTTTCAGTTTGTGCGTTTTTGATCCTGCGTCACCTGCGAGTGCGAGACAATCATAATTTACAATGTGAATGATTTGAATTTTTTTGAAATATATAGTAGCTTGACTAGCTTCTAAGTTCTAGCCTCTAGGACAGTCTAGGTTAACAGCAATTCAGCATGTCATGCAATGACATGATATCTTTAAATATTTAGATGATTATCTAATAAATCTTTTATTTTCAGAGATCTTATTCTTAATGCTGTTTATCTGTGTATTCTGTGATTGATGAAAATTTTGGTTAATGCTCAGATCAGAAAAAGTAATGGGTGGTGAGCAAAGAAACATGGCTTTGGACAAAAGAGGGGACCGGAATAGAAATGTTTATGGTAAGTTTATAATTTGACTTTGAGCGGTATTATTGCAGATTAACTACATCCAAAAAAAAGGGTGTTTTTTTTTTAATTATATGTTTTTTGGGGTGTAGATTACGAATCTGAAATCCATTTTTGGCGGTTGGCATCGGAAAACCGATTTTTTTCGCGACTTACTAACATGGGGGTTACGTAACTTACGTTACCCACTCACCTTTATTTACTAACATGGGGGTTACGTAACTTACGTTACCCACTCACCTTTATTTACTAACATGGGGGTTACGAAACTTACGTTACCCACTCACCTTTATATAAAGGGTCGGATTGTTCATCGAAATTTTACAAAAAGCTCTTAGGTTGGGTTAAGTCAGCTAAGTTCCTTTTTTTAGATAGCATTTTGATCTAAAAGGAACCTGGGCGAACCAACCCAACCTGCGAGTTGGCATCTCATGCCTCATATCATGTCTTGTCTCATGTCTCATCTCGTGTCTCATCTCACATCTCGTCTCATGCCTCATATCATGTCTTGTCTCATGTCTCGTCTCCTCGTCTCATGTTCAATCTCATGTCTTGTCTTGTGTCTCATCTCCGCGTCTCATGTCCAATCTCATGTCTTGTCTCATGTCTTGTCTCGCGTCTCATCTCACATCTTGTCTCATATCTTGTCTCATGCCTCGTCTCATGTCCCGTCTCATGTCCCCCTCATGTCTTGTCTCATGTCTCATCTCATGTCTCTGTCTCGGCAGTAGTTCAGGACCAGCATACCTCACTGGCTCACAACTGAACTAAACGTAAACTGCGCGGCATGACATGGTAGAAAAACTGTCAGAATGGCTGCAGAGCTCTGAAATTTCGAGAGCATGCTCTAAAAACTATAATTTTAATTTCAAATTATCTTTCATTAATTTCAAAATACAATATCAATGTTTATTTCTAACTCAAATTTACCCCTTGCACACCCCAGCTAAGCAGGTACTTGATAGACATTTCTTGCAAAAAAAAATTGTGTCATCATAGTTCAAGTTTTTTTAGTTCGTTTCCAAACACAAGTCAATCAAATTAAGCAAACATTTGGGTGGAACTTTCAAAATTAAATACCTTACACACGCCGATGCGAAAAGTGGCTGTCTTGAATTCATAATAATACCAGTGTGGGCTTGATTTTCTGATAAGTGTCATTTTTGTTACTCTGTGTCTGCCTGTTCTATGCATTTACACATATGCTATTTATCAACTGTAGGAGATGATAGAATATGCAGGGTTAGTCTTTCAGTCAAACTAAACCTGTTGTATATGAGTCTTGGAAAATTATACTGATGGTCATGGAGAGGAGTCATGGAATTTTTTTTTTTTCTAAATACCAGTACGCACCCTGTATCTATGAGACTATGATACTCTGCTGGTCTACTTATAGGACTCAAAATTGAACTTGATGAAGAGTATAAAAAAACTCGTTGCTTTGTCACTATGCCTACAAGTACTAAGTGGACCAGCAAAGTATCATGGATACCAGCATTATCTGATTATCATACATAAATAATTGGTTTAAATTTTGAGCAGATAAGGAGATTAAAAATAAACTGATCCTAAAAAATCTCTGGTTTATCACTATAATTAGTTCACGTGCTGGCCAACCCTGCTTGCAAGTTGGTGTGTATTTGATCTGGCATGGAATATATATCTACCTTCTTGATTTTAATATTTTGGGCTGCTACTAGAGCTTTCCTGCCATTTATTGAGGGAAAGAATCCCTCTAGATGAATTACTTAACTTTCTATCTTATTCCTAATGATCTTTTAAGATTTGAAATTAATTGAAAATTAGAACTTTAGAGCAGCAAAATGTTAGTAATAAGTAGGAAAATTCCAAACCTACCAGGCTTCCAGGAGCTGCATTCAATAATTTATCCACACCGGTACATCATACATCATTAGTTAAATTTCCTTATAGAATTTATTGCAGCCATTGATAATTTGTATGTTAGTTTAAATGAGTATAGTAAAAAATACAAGTGCTAAACTTTTGAGCACAACTCTATGGTAAAACCTTTACTCTTTTCCCCACCAGCCGTGTTAGGTACTTCAATAAATAGATGAAAAGAAAAACAAATCAAACGTATGGATATGGTAGACATACAAGGATTTGTTACGTCTGAGCATAGTTTAATAGAAAAGTACTTGAAACTATTCTAAATAATATACAGTCTGAGTTTGAATTGGCAATAGTAAAAAAGAATTATTATTATTATTTTTAAAATTATTTTTATTTATTATTTTATTTTTATTATTACATTTTTATTATTAAATTGTTATTTTTTTTTTTGATAACTGGCTATGCTGGTCTAACTGGCTCCTATTTTGGTCTCCAAGATGCTGTCCAATATTGCTCTAATTTTTAAAATGAAAATAATATCTAGTGATAACTTTGATACAAGTGACAAAAGTGTCATTGTGTTTCTAGAAATTCTAGGATGACATACTTTCTGCTGTGACAATCATTATATATATTTATACATGTTGGTTAGGTTTCATCAATTGATGTTTCATAGGTAATATGAAATTATATATATTCATTATTAATTAATTCATTAATTCCTATTTTTATAATTTATTCATTTTTCTTGATGTGAAAGGATTTGTTATCATTTGTAATTTTAAAGTGTGATTATTGGATTTGCATTTGTTTACATGTACTTGGAAAATTGACTGTATTGTTCATTTTCAGGTGACGGCGGCGGCAATATGTTTGTGTCAGTGAGAGGAGGCAGCAACCGGGGCTCCTTCAGAGGGAGAGACAATGACAGTTACAGTCTGAGGGGAGGGCCAGGACACTCTCGTCTACCTGAGGTTAGTGTGTTTACTGTGCATGCTATATCCATATAGGAGGCACAAAAGTGACGTTAAATAAATTATTGCATTAAATATTTCCTGTTGCAATGCATAAGCTAGGGGTGCATGACTGGCTTGCAAATTTGGTCTCAGAAGTGATTGTGTAGGTTTAAAAAAATAGTGTAAACCACTACTTTATTTTGGTAGAGTAATAGTGAGATAGTATTAAAAGGGACCGTCAATATCATAGGCTGCTATGCAAGCCTCAAAAACTAAAGTTATGATCATGTTATCAAAATATTGTTCTTTCAGCCTAAAAAGCTTGAGAAGACCTCGTGTACTTAATGAAAATTTACAAGAAAATCAATTGTTGCACAACTAATACAATGATCTTGGGTGTAAAACTGTATATGATGACCAGTTAATAATTTCACTGACTCCTTGATTGCCAGTTATACACATTGTCTCATTCTCTGTGGCACTGACTGGCCTTACAAGAGCCAAAGAATTTATCTCAGCTTGTCTGGTGAAATTATGGGCTTGAAAATAACTACAAGTCCGCAGAGAGCCAAGTAAAGCCAATATTTGTGAACCATAAAGGAGTAAGGATTACAAAAAAAGGTTTGATTAGAAATTGTAGAAAAACATAAGGAAAAACCTGGCTCAATAAAAAACCTGTTGAATTGTTATATTTTTGTAAACATGCAAGCCCTGATCTTGTAGTCTGTAAATAGTAATGAACCAAAAATGATCAGGGTCACTGGCGAGCACGTGGCAGCAGCAGCTTCAGAGGCAGCGGTCCGCTCAGCCGACGCCCTCCACCACCTCGCTATGACGACCTCCTCACAGACGACGGCAGGGACGACAACAGACAGAAGAACAGGAGGTGGGCCTTGGCTCTCTTTAGTGTTGTACTCAGCTGCTGGTGAGATTCTGCTTCCTCATTAGCTATGACAATATTTACCTTCCGTTTAATCGCGGTATTATATGTAAGAAAATAATGCATGGAACTCATTCTGAGCCTGTTGAAGTTGATGGTGGTTACTAAAAATTTATTGTTGGTGACTTGTCTTTTCATTGAAATATGCTTATTTGTAAGATTTGTTTGGTGGTTCATTCCTTGAGGCATTTTCAGGTTGGCCTTTTCTAACGCTGTTGGGGCAAATTAAAAGTTTTTTCCATGGAGCAAGTGATCATATATTTTCATTGAAAATATCTTCCTTGATGAAAATCTCTTCCTTGACCACATTGATGACCGCGATGCATTGTTCTCCTGACTGTTGTCTCCAAAATTCCCTATTAGATCGGCTGTCGTGCATCGAGAGTTTCTTAGCTATATTACTTATATACAGTTGAATGTTTGTATTAATATCAAAGGAAATGGTTGAAACTATTGCATATGCCACAGGATGGAGATGTACCGCGGGGGCAGGGGTGGCAGCCGGCACTTCCGTAGAGGTGCGACGATCTACAAGCTCGACCGACGCCCCAACCAACAGCAACCTGCCTCAGGCTGGCATAAATTCACGGTAGACGGATCAGCCTACCATTTGTCACAATCTTTGTACTATCTGAAATATGATTTAATTGCTCTTTTACTTTTAAAAATTGTTTCTCTCGTGGTTTCTGCATTTGTTTTTTTACATACTTTTTACATGTTCAAAGCAACTTTATTCATCTTTCTGACAAAAAATATTCAATTTACTCCTCTGCGGATTCTTTTGAACATTTATCTGCATAGCACGAAGATTTGCCTGTTTAATGAAATCTTGTGCCAAGTGTTAATATTTATTCCTTTAAGATTGACAAATTTGTAAATTATTCTATGTCATGTCTAACTGAAGATAATGGTTTTGCTGTTCAGGTTCACGACTGCGGCGAGCACGACCCTGCATCCGTGATGGCCGAACTCAACGCTCTGGTTGGGCAGAACTTTGACTATCATTTGTTGGCGACTGAAGGCAACAACGTAACCTTCTTCCTGGAAGATAATCCCTCTCTGAATAAAAGCTTACTTGATCTGTCACGTCGCATGGTCATGCCAGGCTGCAACCAGCGTCTGCGCATCTCTAACTTCCCATCTGGCAACCCTCCCTTCCCTCCTGCCACTGAAGAAAATGTGAGACCAATTTTTGGTAGCAAGCAAAATATTTCATTAAATATGCTTTGATTTTAATCTCAATAGAGAAGTAAATAGGTTGGAAGAGTAAAAAGAATGATTCTATTTTAAACTTTGAAGCATTGATATACAGTGACTGTTGAGTTAGTGTGGTGAATGTGTAATCTCTTTCGGAGCTACATAATCTATTGTTTATTGTCAATGCTGGGATTATTTTTTCATGCTATTTACAAAAAGGACATGAAATTTCAATACCTGTCCTTAGATTTTTCTGCAAGCTTTCGTTGTTGCAGAGGCATCATTCAAACTTTTGACAGGAGAGTGTTTAACCTCTCCTTAGTGTGTCCATATCGTTAAAACTTACACAAAGCTGTAACTTTTACAGCTGGAAAAAGTGCGATTGCTGATGTCGGAGCGGTACAGCGCCCCCCTCAAGCGACTTGACCTCACAGAATTCCACAAAGATGAGAGTAAGTTTTGAACTAACTTTGCATCTCGCATGCAACTCACGCTGAGGTGAGCCCCTTTATATTGAAGTAAGATGTCAAGGACTGTTCACCGCAATTTGTTCACCATGTACTTTAAGTGGTGCATAAGAAAATTTCGTAGAAGTTCAGTTTTTAATGCTTTACTGTACGAGGGAAGTAGGATGCATCAAATTCATTGTTAATTTTTACCTGTAGTTGTTTGATTCAACTTAGGCATAGTGTCACAACTATTCTCTGCACTTGACTGTAATGAATGACTGTTAATTGCAGTCATTACACTGAATGTGGGTCCATAAGGGTGTGATGACATGGATATTCATGTTGAACAGTCAGCTTCACGACATACGTAGTCATCATAATGATGATAAAACCCTTTATTATTACAGGACTACGGAGCGCCGGACTGCTGTTCCCTCTCTATGTGCCGTCGAACTTGTCTGCGGTGGGACGCCTGACTGCAGCCAACATCCCTGACGTGACCGAGATCGACCTCAGCCGCAACAAAATATACCGACTTGAGGCTGTTGCTGAGCACCTCAAGGCTTGTGCCGGCCTCACCAGACTTTATCTCTCCAATAATAAAGTAAGAAATGCTTCTTGGTGCGTCCTCTCACTTGTGATATTGTGGACAGAATTTGTATGGTGAATCGTTGTATGTTGCCATCTTTGAGGATAACACGTTTCCTCTGTGCAGCTTGCGTCAGTGTCGTCGCTGCAGAAGTTGCGTGGCCTGCCCATCACAGAGCTCAGCCTCGAGGGCAACCCTGCATGCACGCGCTACAAGAACACCGAGTCCTACATCAGGCAAGTTGTACCCGCGTCTCAGTTGGGCCTGGTAGCTCAGGAGTCGCTTCTCTTACTATTATTTTTTACTGCTCGTTTCTGCTATGATCAATTAGCTATAGGAAGCAAGTTATTGCTCTTGAACATTGTCTTGCATTGGATAAAGATTCATACATTAGGACGCAATCCGACGCATATCTGAAAGTGGCTAGACTTCATTGCTGCCTACTCGTAATGTTATAAATGATTTGATTGCATACCAGTTTTGATTTAGTTATGCCTCATCAATAATTTTCCAGCAGCTTTACGGGCAGTGGTTCTTAACACTATTTTTCTGTTGCCAATCATTACACCGCGTGTGATGTCTAGAAATGTGCTGAACCAAAGTACACTGCGTTGACTTTGTGTATCCATGCCTTATGCACTTTGTGTTGAATTTTCTGAGCAATTTTGATGTCGGTGACGATGTTTTATCATTTAGTCATAAACATACGTAATAATTTCACTAGACTGATGATTGCAAATTGCCTTTTTTACGATAGAGGTTTGTAAAGTGTGATCCGAGACTCTATGTCCCCGGAAAGTTGTTGCTATGGAGCTTCTATCTTGCAGTAGTTTGCGTTGACCGCACATCATTAGTGCAATAAACATAGGTACAAACTAGCATCACTTCATTAGATGTAGCTTCTGGCGTGAGATGATGGCGAGATCGTTACAGGTACTCTCTTTTTTGAGAAAAAGCGAATCATTTACTACTGATGAAGACAATAGATCGTACCAAGTTCCTGCAATAGACTGTACTTACAAATTTATTCAGCACCAGCAATTTTCCTTCAGCGTCATCTTGTGCTCCTAAATTCTGTTGACTGTTTCAGATCTAACAGGTTTGCCTTAAAGCTCGCTACTTATGTGGTGAGTGCCTGGCAACAGGTGAGAACATTTGCTTCATAAACTGACCCTATTCTACTTCACGTGATTATATTTATAATGTTCTCCTCATGCCTCAATTATAAATATTTCTTTTAAATTTCGGGTGACTTCATAGGACATTTCGGACATGTCCTTCATTGTGACCGTGAAATATTATCTGATTCTGAATGATGGTCCAAAACACATGTTCATTTCATTCATGTACAAATTTCTTTGAATGTATGACTAGAATGGCAGTTCTTGTTCAGAGGTTGTGGGAGTGGATGAAGTTAATCGACTTGAAAAATCCCATTTATTACCTCATTTTTCAATATTACGATCTCTATAAATTTTTAGTCTCAACAGTTTCAAATCATTTATTTTAAGCTGAAATTTATCACTTTAATTCTTCAGCATTATTATTATTATTTTTATTAGAGCACTCGGAAACTGGAGTAGCTGGCGACTGAAGCTGGGTTTCTTATTGACATATGATCTTATAATCACTCTGGCCAACTCCATGTTTGATTCATGTCGCAAATTAAAACTACTTGGCTGGTCCAGCTCTTCAAATAATTTCATTTCTATCGCTACTGAATGTCTATGAAATAAGTCGAGAAACTCTCGTTTTGTGTTCTCATCGTCATGTTGTCGTTGGTTTGATTCATCCCTGATGGTCCATCGGATTGCTATTGACTGTAAAAATATACTTCGTTCTCTCATGGGATGCGTGAAGACTCAATGACAAATCTGCATTCTGTTGGTTAATTGTAAGAAGGTTTTCATCATAGCCGTTGTGTTGATATAGTTTATGTTTTCGCGTGTTTGAGGAAAGTTTTTGTTAAAAATCGCCATTAATGGGTTAGGTTCTTCATTCAGTTCCGGTTGTGTAGGCGAGAATCAAAGAACGCTTTGATGAACCGCACGTCGATCGTTGAGTGTTCTCGTCTGTCGGGGGCAGCGATGATTTGCCAAGGAACTTACAGACATTTTATGTTATCCTGTGTTATCTTATCATCAGGACTGTGATAACTAGCTGTGATTCTAATCCATGTACCTGAATTACCGTGTCATGAGAATATAAGAAGATGCATTTTTATGTTAGACATTAAATTTATGGGGGGAAAATGCTGCGGGTATTGCACTGGAATAGCCAATAGTCATTTTATGATTGTTGCCATTTCCAGTTAGTTTTTAGGTGATAAGTTGTTTATCGGCTTTTTATTATAAGTAATTTATTTATTATAAATGTATAAGTTAATTTAAAGTGTTGAAATGAGCTGCCTCGCTCCAGCTGAGGCTGATCTTCACAAAAGGTTGGATTCTATTCAATACTTCAATAACTTTTTCAATATTATAGCGGTGCGCAGCATTCATTTGGCCAGTATTTTGAACTTTGAGAATCCTTAGGTCGTATTAAGCATCTCGATGGGAGAAATCGATTAAATGAAATATTATAGCGAAATACTGATGCTTTTCTATATCAATTCAAACATTATAATTCGTGTAACGCGACCGTCCTGGTCATTTTGACTCTGTGTGTGCCATAACTAAATTTAATTATTCTTAAGTTAAGTGTTCCTAAGTTCTCGTGCCAAGATGCCAGCAGGACTGATGAGTATCATGGGTGCTTGAGGGGGACAATGGTCAGATCAATTGATGCTTTGCTTTATACGCTATTTCATTTGTAGCTTTATATCTCAGCAAGTTTTATAATCAAGCTTCGATTTGAATAATTATAATGGTAATAAGTATATGTCTTATTTAAATAATTTGGTTTTGTAAGCATTCAAGACAGTTGTCCTAAACGCGCGGTTCTCCGGGACAATCTGATTAATCCGACAGTTGTCAGTTCATTAAATGAATTAGATTTGGTTTCTAATTTCCAAGAAAATACTACGCTTCTAGTTTATATTGATATTCCATTTGAAGTAACGTCTCGATAAATTTTATGAGAGAAACTCATCGCAACGACATAGATGAGCACATATTATTCAGTGTCGAATTCGCAAGACTTCAATTTTTAGGTATGAATTCTTATGAACTCATTGTTAGGTTCCCAATTATTGTTCTCAGTGTCTACTTTGTTCAACCGTATGATTATAAAGCATTCGCTACCAAAAGTCGTTCATCGAGTCGTTCTGCAAACGCTCGTTGATCTAAAGTCTAAACTATACGCAGGGGGAGTTTTCTATCCCCACGATTGGAAGCTGGACCATCTATAGAGAATTAGGGTTTTTGGTAGATCCGTGGGTCGGAATCAGGTTCATGCTTAACTATGCCAAACAGTAGATCAAATTTGTCCTTTAATAGCCTCATGCAGTGTCTGAACTTGTAATTATCTCACGTATTCTACTTAATACTAAGGTAGGTATGTATAGCGTATAAAGCAAAGCTCAATCCATGTTTTCTATGATGCTCAGTCAACTCGTGCGACCGTTCGATGCGCTTAATATCTGCTGAATTTCCCACATCGGCTTTTCTTAAAATTCTTTTATATTATTGGGCTGAGACGTCGGTAGGACGGATATCACCGCCCTACAGGCCGCAGCCCGGGGTCTTAAGTCAAGGGTTATGGAGAAATTCCAGTTGCCGCCCAAGCTAACCGCACTCCTGATAAAAATACTCTCGTTAAAGGAAAACTTCCTTTACTATTGCCCTAAAAAATACTTGAGTGCTAGTCAAGGGGGGTTCACCTTACGAGAAGTTGACCTATGAGGAAAACTGTTCTTGCTTTAGCGTTAAAAAAGCACAGCGCAAGCTAAGGACCGTTCACCTCGTGTGCCCAAAAGATTCCGCAGCCGGTCAAGGTTCAGCGTAAGCGTAGCTTTCGTCTGTAACCGCGCCGAGCATTGCACTGGAACAACATACGGCTATTGATGTGGTTAAGGAATTGCTGCTTTCCCCTCATTCTCCTCCTTCTATTACTTTCTTTCTAATCTGGTCTCTTACTTTACTTAGTTTCCTGCATTTACCTTAATTCTTTTACAGCTTCCTAATATGACCCTTCATAGCACATGGCACCTAAAGAACCTACGAGACTAGACAGTCAATTCTGCTACTGCTTGATAATTACTACTGCAGTGTTACTAATCGGCCGTGCCTTCGGGCTGACTTCTTACGGAGTCACCACCGTCTGGTGGACGTCGATGTGCTTATCGGAGGCTCGTGGTTTGTCTTGGTGGCTTCTGCGTGCTGAGCGAGCGCCGTGTTGACTGCATCGTAGAGGCTGGGGCCTCTCCATTACCTCATCTCAATGTGTCTATGATTCATGTTAAGTGGCAGCACACTTTTTACATAGTTGTTCATTTGAAGTATTAGCTAACTGTTGAGTTAGCGATTAATTTGAAGTATTAGCAAATTATTTAGTTAGTGATTCAGGCGATTAATTTTAAGTATTAGCAAACTATTTAGTTAGTGATTAATTTTAAGTGTTAACCAACTATTTAGTTAGTGATTAACTTTAAGTGTTAACCAACTATTTAGTTAGTGATTAATTTTAAGTGTTAACTAACTATTTAGTTAGTGATTAATTTCAAGTGTTAGCCAACTATTTAGTTAGTGATTCTTTTGAAGTGTTAGCGAACTCTCTAGTTAGTTATTCATATGAAGTGTTAAGAAAGTCATTAGTTAGAAAGAGAATATACCCAGGAGACCCAACCACGCTAGCGTGGACGGTATCATGTAACGCTTAATTAATGGCGTTTGCTGTTTCTAATCGCGCCCAATTGTTGGGAGTTCAACGTGATACGATGGAATTATCGTTACCATTAATTTATTATTTAGGATTAGAAATATTTTTTACTCATCACATTCCTGCTGGTCTTGGCACTGTAAAGTGTAAATATCTCGTGTGTTAAGTTGGTTTGTTTAATTAATTAAGGATATTCGGTCTGATGAAAATGGCATAAAGCTTGTATGCGAGATGCCTTTCTCAATGATAATCTTCTAAGTTCTTCAAATCTCAAATTCCCTATAGTAAAATAACTTAATTTCATTAGACCGGAGAACGAAAACCTGTAGACGTTTTTTCTCATTTGGATTGCAAAGGTTTCGTCGGTAGCCTCCTTGTCCGGCAGTCATTGAGATCGAATTCTCATCTCGCCCCCTTGACTCCTGGAGCTTCGCTTCTCCACCGGACCTGGAGTCATGTTATCCTTAATTCTATTATAAAATTTCCTACACAGGCTGTTAGTGACAACAATTTTAATGTACTGTTCCATGGCTACCATTTTAAGTACAATTTAATGATATTTTCAATAGACACAAAAATTTTACGGGCGGAGAAGTTAAAGCTAACTACATCTATGAGCCGTGTTCTGGTCGCTTCATCATTGTGTGCTCGGCCTAAGAGTCGAAGGCGATACTTGGGTCGCTCGCCTGGTCTTTCTTTGACATTTGAAGTGTTTTAAATCGGGCGACATCATGTTGATATTAGCACAACGTACGTGGGACCTCGGTAGACAAGATAATCTAAAGATATTATGTCGCACTGATGTTAGCCCGGCATTATAATACCTGCTTGTTCTAGGCAAGATCATTTTTATAGTTGGACTACGCTTCAAATGCGGGATAAACGTCTTTTGTAACTTGCTATTATATTGTGCGTAGCAAATGTTACTTGAAGTAATCGAAGTGAATCGGAAAATTAAATATTCTTGAGCTATCATTGCTACGGTAGGCATTCTAGGACGAGCGCTCACGTAATAAGCCGTGTGTTGGTTATCCAGATGTTGCAATGGCGGATGTGTCCTTGTAGAATTTCCTGTGTTATTAGTTAGTACACATTATACTCACAGAATACACACAGAAATGCACATTTCCTGGTGTATTTAGAGTGTCGCCTTATCGAATGATTATGTCGCTAATATTATTCTTCGTTGTACACTGATCTCTCGTTACTTCGCGCTTCGTGCATCGCCTCCTCAGCGTGTCGCAGATTGCTCAAAGATTTCGTAGAAAACTCAAAATTGAAGAATTGTTGCGTGAAGGTTGCTTGCGCGCAAACATTTAGTTGGAATTGCTCACACAATTTACTATTCGTTTTTATAATTTACTGTCTAGCATGATAAATAGTGACAATGAATCGACAGCTGGCTACGGAAAGAGGAAGTGGATATAAGCATACCTATCTTGGCGCCGTTTTCAAGGACATAGAGCGAGATTTGACGTCTCGAGGAACGCTAATTGTGAAATAAAATGTGGTGCCTTCAAGTGTTGATATCGGAGTGTCAGGAAAAGGCTCTTCACTTTTTCGATAGTCAAGAAAGTTGTTCTATAACTATTCTCCAATGCACAAATGATATACTATACAATTTGTGGCTTTATATCTAGGGCTCCTATTGATGTTCGACATATTCGTCAGAATGTTTTTACGTTAACGATTTAGGAGTGGCGTTGCTTGTCGCTTTTTTGGCTTATCTCGACTGTATTTTGGTCCTCATATTTATTGTGATAACTGAGGGATTACAGTACATTGTTTAATGTGTGCAACCTTCAACGAGTGTTCAATTTACGTAAATTATTAGGTTTAGTTATAGGTTATATTTTTAAGATTAGGTGTAAAACTTCACTTTGGTATCTTGGTATATATATATATATTTTTTAAGTTCTCTGGTTCCTTACATAAATGGTATAATAGTTGATAGTTTATGCGAGAAAGGTTCTAGTTATTTATGTATCAGTGCACATGTGTGAATGGATTATGAATATCTCTTTCTGTGAGTTCCAAGGCAAATTTTTGCTGTTGTCGGTGGCGAGTTTTCTTAACGTTCTGGCCTTTTTTCGTTCGAATCTGAAATTCTTTTTTCGAAATTCATTTTCGTTGTGAAGGGCAGGTGGCGTTCTTGGAACTATCTGAATTAAGCTCATTAGAATAGTTTGTTGCCAGTTCAGCTTGTTGTAATCTCATTCTAGCGATGTTTTGGTCGTTAGTTTCCTTGTTTTTTTGTTGCTTCTATTGCTCTGTTTGAGCCTTCAAGCTTTCGTTATTTTGGTTCCTCAAAGATTATTTTTTTTGTTATCAAAGGTTATTCTCACGTTGAGGAGTATGGGTCGTTATCCCCTGGGTTTTTGTCAGAATTTTCTTCTCGTATAAGTGTCTGCAATGTGTTCGGAATCTTCCATCAATAGGCTTGAAAATACCAGGTTTATTTTTAATGTGAATAAAAAACTCTGCTTCAGTCACTGGACTCTTTAGTTTCTGGTTATCGTAGTTTGGCGACTTCAACTGCCAATCTCAAATCCCAGCTGTCGACTCTATTTTGTGCAATTTCAGCAATTCAAATCATTTTAATAATTTTTTTAATTGTAATTGTTTCGTTTATGAAATTGCCTCATAAATTGTAAGTGATTGATGCATTGTATCATCCTATGTTTTGAGTAAAGTCGGATTTCTCACTCCCGCTCCGCATTTATGCGCTGCTTCTATCCACTCACACACCTCACGGCCAAGCACTCAGACAAGACACCTGCTATTTCTTGAGCTATCGAGCTATCAACTGATATTTCTTGAGAATTTCACCTTTTTGATTTAGGTAACGTGTAGCTTTGTACTGTTTATGAAATGCTGAGGCACAAAATTTATTCATATTCTATTTTGATCGGTTAATAAAAGTGACTTTAACACAAAATGTTAGATTTACTGTTCACAATTTGTTTGTTAGATTATTTTTGGAAATATTTACTTTTTTTCCATACATTTGGCTAAAATACTATTTAAGTATTGAAGATTTGCCAACGCATGTAACGAGTCAACCCTCATCCTGGAATCTTCGTTTGCAGTGCCGTGCGGGAATTCTTTCCGAAACTCCTTGTGCTGGTGAGCTACGTTTATTTGTGCTCATATCATTGTTTTTATTTTTTTTCTGATCTACTAAAGTTGCTATTGCTACAATTAACGCTCAATAAGTCTACGTTCCTAGAATATTTAACCCTCACATCTTCCTCTATGATTTGTTTATACGTGAAGAATTCATTGTTCTTGGAAGCACACTGCTAAGTGCCTTCTCTCTGCTGGCGATATTTTCCAAGCGTATTTTGAATGTTTCAAGAAGATGCCTTCTCTTATCCCTATCAATAAAGGAAGTTTCGTCTCGAAATAGGTTTATTAATGATCAACAGGAAAAGGTTAATGCAGATATTTGAAATAAGTAACGCTTTTAGAAGCAGGTGTGGCTGTGATATCGTGAAGGTATTTACCACGCTTGCTCTACCCTAAGCAATTTTCTCGGCAGGACGGCAAGGAGCTGCCGCGGCCCATCGGCTTCGAGGTGGACGAGAGTGACGTGGTGACGCCGCCCTGCCTGCCCTCCTTCTTCTGTGACGAGCGCATCAAGGGCGTCATGCTGCTCTTTCTCAAGCAGTACTATGAGGTAACATTCTTGATTAACTGTCTAAATACTGTAGAGTTGCATGGAGTAAGTAATATTGTTACTAACCAACGATCAGTTGTTTGTCTCCTAATAAATTTGTATTTTAGTCCGCTTGTTTGATTTGCGTACAGACTACTGAGGTCTCGTGTCTTAAGGTATCGTTTTTTGGGACAAGGAATACCATTTTCTTTTGTTTTTCAGTCTTTATTTACACATTTTTAAAATTGTTCTAGATGGAATCAATACTGCTCAGTGCAAGATTTTGTTATATAGCTTTATCTCAATGCAATTTTGTTATCTCAAAGATACTCATTGAAGCAGGAGCGATGTCATGTCGCGTGTCACTAATATAATATCTTCACTTGCCTCAGGTTTATGACAGCGCTGACCGGAGCGCTCTTGAGTTGGCTTATTGCGAGGACGTCGTATTCTCTATGACGTCACTCCTTCCTGAAGCGGGCAACCGAGCTGTGTTAGTGTCCCAGCTTGACAATGAGTACTCATTCTTTGACTATACGAATCTCTCAGCACGAAATGGTATTTAGTTAAGGTCATAATTATAATGTTTATTTGTGTTACAAAACAGTAGAGTTGGTGTATCCCTAAAGAGAACAGCGTATACTATTATCTGGACGTATCTGTCACTATCTTTATACTTGTCAGCGTTTTTCTCCTAGCTAGTATTATATACTAATAAATTTTAATTAACTTTTTGGCACTGTCTAGTATCTCTAGAATTTCAGTTAAATCCTGGTTCTAAAAGTCAAAGATATTTTGCTAAGGGAGGACGATAATTATTTACGGTTGCATTTGACCTATCGAATGCTGATGACTGCAGTCACGCTTTAAGTTCTTGTGCTCCTGCAGGGTCGAGGACAACTTGCTTATCCCGAACCGCAACCTGCGCCTGTGTACTGACAGCGATCGTAGGATGGACTTGTTGTATCGCAATCGTGCTGACGTCATGAAGTTATTGAAGAAAACTCCTGCCACTCAGCACGACCTCAACTCCTTCGTCATCGATATGCCCGTGGCCAAGGTGAGCTCTCTTCGCTTGTGCGTGGTTATGTTGAAAATACGGAGATTATTACCATTCCTACTTCAAATAATCTATTTACAAGAATATCCTTCTTACTTGAAGTAGTCTGTTTTTATTTTCTCAATTTTGTTTACCTTCTTGCCTTTGTTACAAAGAAACGGCTGGGGATTTATCAAATAATTTAAAATAATTATGTTTTAATCTTCCTATTTTAAACACATCGTTTTGTGCAGCCCCAGCTCGTACAGCTGACGCTTACGGGAGTCTACAGACGCGAAGGCATCAAGTCCAAGAACATGAGCGTCCGCGCCTTCCAGCGGTCGCTGATCATCGTGCCTGTGGGCTCTGGCTACTGCATTGCAAACGAGCAACTGCACGTCGCGCTCGCCACGTTCGACCAAATCAAAGTGAGACATATGACTGTGCACAGAAATAGAGTTACCGTGTATTAACTTCTTTCAAAATTGCAGGAGAATTATCTAATATCTGTGCAAGGAATGCGTAGGTTTCCATTACAAAATCCTAAATACATTCTATATGTTCAGGTTTTATTGGGTTAGAAAGGCTGAATTTTGAGTAATCAAAACACATCTCTTGTTGAAAGAAATGATATATACCTAACGACCTTTGTTGGAAGTTCGACCAGCATATTAATGGCTTTTTTAGAGAGTTTGATTTTTATTTTTCATTTCAAATGCGGTCAGTGCAATTCATTAATGCAATTAATTAAAATTAAAGAAATTAATTAAATGAAAATTAAAAATGTAATTCATTAATTGTGGAATTTCCCAAGATGTGTAAAAATTTCTTCCTGTAACTGATTGAATAAACTTGTGTATCGTTATGTTACGGTCGTAATTTACTGTCGCGCACACTGACGAATACATCGATGGCTGCAGGACGCATTCAAGGTGACGCCAGGAGCTGAAGAAGCTGGCGTGTCGCCTGTTTCAGCGACGGTGGCTTTGTCAGAAGGTCTGGAGCCTCAGCAGCTGCAGATGATCGAAAAATTCTCTTCCATATCAAACATGTTGCCAGAGTTCTCCAAGCAGTAAGTTCAATGCTACTATTATCTAAAATTCTCTTTACGTCAAATATTTACCCAGCCTGTAATTTTTAAAGTCATCGCTGCATACAAATTAATAATTCTGTTTATGATCGTACTTGCTGGCACAGTCGTTAGATGTTTCGATATTTAACAAATTTTATGGCATGATATCCACTAATTTTTGTCTACAATATTTACCAAGTTAATTTTTTCCGTTTCGTTAAGTACAGCCAAATATTTAAGACGCATTTCAATTTGATGTTTTAATAATTATATTTGTGATAATATGAACATATTCGACAAGCCAACTTTAAATTATTACAGAAAATTGGATGCATCTGTTCAAATTATTGCAACGAATTGGTCGGTGTAATACGTTTCTTTTTCTCTCATCTTGTTTTGTTTGATATATTGAAGTTACGACGTTTTCACGTTGACTGTAATTTTCTTGTTTTGTTCATCTTCGTTTATCTTGAATGGCGTTAATGATACACTGAATGAAATGCTTATGTCCTCAGATGCTTGGAGCAGAACGCCTGGAACTTTGAAAAAGCGGGTAATCTCTTTCTGCAATTAAAAGGAGAAGGGAAAATTCCACCCGAGTACTTCAAGCCTTAGCTTCAGTTTATTCCGATCGTGTTGTACATATTTATTAGTTCCATGCATCATTTTAGTTAAACATGGCTTCGCAAGACTGTAATAAAGTGGGCTTTTTCCATACAAGATATAAGCATCTTCGTTATATGCAGGGAGTCAATGTCGTCACGAAGTAATTATTGGAAGAATTTTTTAGTTGCTGTATTTAAGATTGTCATGATTTTGTTGTTATTTACCTTACTGAATGTATGTACATTTTGCCGCTTCTCAGTTTAGACACGCCTAAAACTCCTGTGGTTGAAACATTACTATTTTATGACGTCAGCAGAAGCTCTGAATCTTGAAATTCAGCAAATGAAGTCCATTAATAATAATTAATTATTTTAGTCTTGTGTAAAATGTCTAAAATATAGCGTTGCTAAATGGTCTGAAGTGTGTTTAATTTCCTTTGTTATCAAACTATTGGCAGTGGTTAACGAGCAGGAAGATTGTCGAAGTGTGACGTTTCGTTGTGATGTGTCCACAGCTAATTAAGATATTTTCGGTATACATCATCATAATGACGTATATCCAAACTGACTGTAAAAACGTGTAATGTTGCAGTTGTTACTCGCGAAGTTTTGCTGCATTTGGGGATTTTGCGTTCTTAGGGGGATTGTTCCTGAGCGCCCCACCGCTGAGCTCGCGGTGTCGGACTGCAAGTCTCAGTTGTGGGGTTAAGTTATTAGGTAGGGATTCCTTACATTTCCCTTCTCTGTCTCTCTCGTGCGGGCGGCCGACGTCCCGTGTAAGCAACCTCTTGTTCGAGTGTCTTAGTTTCTGTTGCTTTTCACCTGTCCCTCCTTGTCACTTCGTCTCTTTGAGATGCTAACGCTGCTTCTTTCGAGCCAGCTTCGGCGGGCTGGACATCTGAGACCTTCTGCCCCTTGTGGGTGATGAATAATTGAGACCTTCCACCTCTATGGTGATGTTCATCTTGACTTTCGGTGCGAGATAGCTAAATAGCTGAAGCGCTAGTAAACATTTGGCCACTTAACTAACTTGCTGCATTTGGTGAAATGCATTAGAATAGAAGTGTCGGCGTTGAAGAAATAGGCCCATGGCCTGTTGGTAAAATTGGTATAGGTAAAAAATCATTGGTTATCGCTAACCTTAACCTAACAAAAATAATGCAAAATTAATTCTGAGTGCTATGAACAGGCATCTCGTATGATATGTGATGCAATCTAATCACCTGACAAGTTGAAAATGGTTCTTTCAAGTTGATAATAAAATGGGTAACTTTGGACATGAAACGAGTTACTTTCAATAGCAGGCCTTTATGCACCATATTTTAAATATTAATATAACTCTATGAGTGACGATTTTCAGGAACTCAGTTCGAAGAATTTTACGGAAAGCCTAATCGTGTGACTGCAGACTGCTGACTGTGTTGGGAATGTAAACATCTTACACACTGGATGGGTTGTCATCGGTTCCGAGAGAGAGAATCAGCTGCAGCTGCGTTCACGGTTCGTCGAGTAAACGTCCAGTGAGTTTCATCTTTGATTGCGTTAAGTCAACTTTCTGCTTGCAAATAGTCATTTATAAATCTACCATAACTTTAAACTATACTTCTATATATACCATGAGACACGAGTAATCGAGTATTGTATGCATAGGTATATACCACGATTATAATGTGGCATCCTGAAAAGGGGACGACCGGACGACTGAAAAAGCCCAGCATTGTCCAATACCAGCATAATTTTCATACTTCTCCCCGTGCGCAAGCATGATGCTGAGCAAATTAGCCAACATGATTACTTCATTTACTTGCTAAGTTGCTGAAAGCCACAGGGACCGATACGATACCGAACCCCTTCATGGATGTAAACCAGCAACAGCAAGCCAATGAGCTGCAGGCTGCCAAAACAATGGTCGTAACTTGTAAGTCGTAACCCACACGCTAAACCCCAAAATATTTCTATTCCATGCAGCCTAGCCCCTTCTGCCTTCTCCACTTTTGATAAAGAACGCCCTGCGCCACACTGCCACAGTGCCACAGTGCTATCAGTTAATCAGTACACTGCTACCGACTACCGTGCTACCTCTCAGTCTCCAGCCTGTCCGTTCTTCTGGAGGCTAAACCTCCACGCTTACCCCCTGCTCCCCCTCCTTTCGGTACCAGCTTGCGGAAGAATTCTAACCAAACCTAACCTAACCTAACCCTTTTGCGGAAAGGTGGAGAGAAGGGGGTAAGTGATAAGTGTGGAGGAAGAAGATGCTGGTGAGCGTCAGCCGTCAGGGCTGGGTTTACGCCTGCGAAGTGGGTAAGGTGAAGCTACAGTCCGGTGCAAGGCCATTCATATTTACGGCAGTCTGGACTCTGGTGCAGTCTGCGGACTCTGTTGCTTACGGCATTCGTAAGAAGTGATGGTAGGGGCTTAAATCATTGGTGTAAGAGCTATTGGGCGTAATCCATTTGGAGTATCAGCTTGTGGACTGAGGCATTGCTTGTTTCAAGCTGGTGTGGCGAGATGAGGCAAGTAAGAACAGCTGCATATGTGTTATGCTGACTATTTCTATTGCATGTAGAGTTTGGCATTGGCTCTTGGGCTGATTTAAGAGTCAAATTTTTGGGCTACGGCAGCGCTCCCCTGAAAAGAATGGTAAGAAGTTCACGGCTCCGTGATCGGGCTCTCATGCCCCCATACGGGTACAGCCGCAGGGTGCAGCGTCACTTGATAAAATCTCTTTGGAAATAATAGCTCGCCATCCTGTCGTGGGGCCAAATTGGACTAATCTTCAATTCTTCCAAAATGGATAAAAAAAACTACCCAACTTGGGTTAGTTGGGTAGGTTTTTTGTGCTTGTGGTCCAAGTAATGGAAAAGCAAATGAAGCGTAAGCCATAACTAGCCCATAAGTACTGTACCTACTCAGTATACTGTGTACACTCACTGTACAGTTACTACAGTACACTGAGTAGTGAGTACAGTACAGCCTACAGGCTGCTAACAGGCATACTGCATAGTGCATACAGTACTCTTGTCTTGCAAGTTGCACTGGGCCTCAGCCCCTGGCCTGGGGGTGGGGGGCAATACCTGGGGCATACCCTGAGGCCTGAGCCTTGAGGCCTGAGTTGAGTGAGTCCTGTAGCTCTGTAGCTGGCAAGTATACTGTACAGTGTACAACACTACAGCTTGCGCAGCACAGGTTAAGGATTAGGTTGCAACTTTAGCATAATGGTTTAATATTGGCATTTTTCTGAAGATTAAGGACTACAGTGCTAACTGCTACAGGCATGGAATATTGTTAGGGGCACTACTAACATTCAAGCTCTAAAGGTCGGGTAAGACCAATATAGTATTGGCTTTTATCTTGCGGAAAACTAGTTGAACCAACCTAACAGCAGGAAAAATCAAACACAAGACCAATCAACCATATGAACTCTAAGACAAGTTGGCACACATATTTTACAATTGAATGAGATACAAGATGATGAGGGGTTAGTGTAATGGGTGATACACAGGAATGAGAATGGATGAAACACAGTAAATACAGAAATTGCAAGAACCCTAAAACCCTATATTACATTGATGATCAGTAAAACATTATAAAGGGAACAGTAAAAATTCTATACAACAAAAGGCTCACTAAACAGTTTGCATGTTCCAGAGACTTCCAGGATCCACAGCCAGTCCTTGAGCAAAGAACTCTTCTCTTCTTGGTATCCTGTCCGTTCTCATGGCTGGAACAAGGGTAAGGTTCTGGGTTCACCAGTTCACAGCTTGTATAACTTGTGATTAACTGACACCGCACCAAGAATAAACACTTGCACTTGCTTGGACTAAATACTTAGCAAGATAAAAATAGCAATCAGTTGCACTCGGCAAAGAGGTGAATTTTCAGCACAGTTGAGAACAATCACAAAGGTTGCTTATGCTCCCGACCTCAGAATTCCAATTCTGGCTTAACAGGGAACCACTGAAATACACTGCACAAGAGATCACTGGTCTTCTAGCATCACAGTCAAAGCAGTGAGTGCACAAGACATCAATGCAGTCGGAAGAACAATTACTATTGCCAATTGCAAATCACTACTCATTTGTGCACAGTTAGGCAACTGAGACCAACCAAACTGGTGATCCATGTAACATGCTGAAATCACATAACCATGCAACAATCTAGAAAACAATCTGTGCATAGGCTATTTATCATAATTGATGATCTGGAACGAGAAGAGACACAAGGGATTAGGGAGAAATGCATGAGAGAAGGAATGGCAACACAAAATACATAGAGCAAAAAGCCATTCCCTCACAATATATCTACTTGGCAAGTCGTGACTAGATTATTGGAGCCATGGTTGATGGTTCTATGTATTTGCTAGCAGTGATTCCATTTCTTTTAGCTGTGAATTCCATATCTTGGCCATGAAGAGCCATTTATGAGGCACGAACTTGTTTATGTTTTTACAAGGTCCTATCACTCCTATGAACGTGCTATATCAAATTTCTAATTTTACCATAGAAACGGCAAGAGTAATACCTATTTGTCTTTGTTTTAGTGGCTACTGACCAGGTGATAACACAGTTTGACTGCTTTGACCATCTGACGTGACAGCAAATATGCAATCTTTAACAAAAAATACAAGACATTAGAGCCATGAGATTTCATACCTACTGAAATTATATGATATTAGAGCCGTGATATTTCAGAAAAAAGTATGACTTTTCCCGACCTGCAGTGCTAGAATAAATTTTACATTTATATTAGTAAGAATGATAATACTGTCAAATGAGGTAATAAGAGATGATTTTGAGTATTTTTTGTTACATATGTTGCACTGTGAGTTGTCATGACTCATGAGTCACACTCACAGTGTGATTTGTGTTTGGCATCATTATGAGTCTTACATTTTTTAAAAAGAATTGTGCATTCAACTATTATTTTTCACTTCCAAAGTAACAATGACCTCACTGCTCTGGCTAAGGTTTGGAAATTTCCTATTCATTACTAAAATCTTGCATCACCAATATGGTAAATTTTTGGTACATTTAAAATCTTGCAGCCTTACTGTGGATTTTTTTGCCAAAAAGATAGGAGATAATTCCTAGAAAAGTTGAGCAAGAATCTTGCAGCTCCTAAATTTGTGGGAAAATGCCACTGTAGCTAAACTGAAGCTATTATTGTAAAGCAGTCATTAGTAGCACTTTGTAATTAGTTCCTAAAACCAAGAACAGTGTGGAAAAAGTAACTGGATTGCTGTTTGAATGAAAAAAAAAACAGAACTGAACAAATTACACAAATTTGCAGAACTATAGGAAAAAATGCAAATTTCTCTGTGTGTCAAAAGTTCATGGCTGGCTATGGCTACAATGCTTCTTAATGGGGGGAAAATGGTGGGGTTAGACATGATCACCAACATAATTATGCCTTGCCCCCCCCCCCCCAAGAAGTCATGCCTTAGAGCTCAAGAAGTTGTCTCACCATATAGTTCATATAAATTATTTTTAAGCATACAGACTAGATAAGTGTCAATGTTCTATAATTCTCTCAGATAATTATGGAGTTTACCTGCTCAAAATGTAGAAAAATATACAGAAATATATGAATATTGATGGAATTTTATGAAAGCTACACAATATTGAGTAGCATGAAATTTTTCCCATTGTTTCACTAAAATGCAAGGATGTAATACTTTTTACAGACTTTTGAGTCAACATAGAAAGGAGCACAACTGAGCAAAGCAAAGTAAGCTTTTTATTTAACAAGATGGTGTGGACATGATTTGGTATTTCATTGCCTGTTTCCAAGCATGAGTAGCCCAGGTTTATTTCAGTTGAGTTTGTGTACAAGCAAAAAATTCTACTGGGAATTTTACAGCATGTAAACAACTCAGTACTGTGGTTTAAATCTTTATATATTGGAGTTAGAGAATAGTCATGTCTTGCCCCACCTTGATCTTGTCTTAGCTCACTAGGTCAAGAAACCTCTTGCTCACTTTTTTGATTCTATACAAAAATAAATGACATTTTGAGACACATTGAGTGCAGTGCTGGAAGCCCACTGTGTCAACACAAATTTTGGTACTTTCAACATTTTCCAGTTAAACATAATGTAGGCGCTCCATGCTTATTAGTGATTTTGATTGTCTCTTGCACCCTCTGACTATATGAGTGAGTATATCATTCAAAGCATTCTATCTCAGGCTCATTCAAACAACATGAAAATGGATGAGTTTGATGCAACTAAGTTTCACGCTCGGTATTCCTACTCTGACTCTGAAGACAGCAATGATGGCATCAGAGAGAGAGTTGCAGGATTGAAAGAACAGTAAGTGTGCAACTTATTTATTTCTGTCTTTCCTATGACACTTGATTTTCAGGTATGTTTTGACCAATTGTGTCAATGTTGTGTTGAGATAACTTGAGACTGCAACAATTTTGGCAATTAAAATGGGAGGACATGGTGTTCTAACATAAAAGTTTAGTTAAGTATTAGCATTTATTCTTGATACAAAATTGAATGGTTTTAATATACGTATATCCAAATCACCAGCTCCCACTCACAGCCTAGAATAAAAAATGTGCTGTTTTATTCTTTTAGTTTGATTTTTTCTTGTGATTTTTGTACTGTACTAGAGGCTACTTGGGTGTGAGAAACAAGGCTATTTAAGTTTAGCTTTTCCATAGCATTCATGTATTTTGCAATTATGATGTTGGCAGCTGCTGCCAATTAAGCTTAATATTAGATTAATTATTTTCCTGCATCATATTCCAGGGTATATCATGACAAACTGGAAGCTCTCAAAAGACAATTGGCCCAGCTGGATGAAGGGACACATCCTGAATACAGGAAAAAGATGAAAAAAGTTGATCAAATTCATAAAGAAAGGTAAGTGAAAATAAACTGGCCAAATTTCTATAGTTCATCATACACAGCTTTGTGTGAAGTGACGAAAAAAGTTTTACTGAGTGCAGGGCAAGCTAAACGCTGCTATTTCATTCACTATTACTTGCTTTATTTCAGGATTCTTTTATATATTTAAATATGAAATTATGTGAACTAGAAATAATTTCCTTGATTTTCATAAGTAATTCTAGGGAGAAGTATCATTTTAAAAATAGATAATTCTATGTCATGTGGATCTCTTGAGTCTTCTGCAGCAACAATGTGCTCTGTTTGCCACAGTAATGGCTTAGTGCCTTAAACTGCTTTTTATTATTGGAACATTTGGCTGTTAATGTTATTTTAAATTTATTTACATTCTTTCAGATTGCGAATGAATGAAATTTGGAAAGAAATTGAAATAGAAAAGGCAGAGAAAGAACATATTTTGGAGAAACAACTTGCGCTCAGAGACTTTGAGGAGAAAAAGGCTGAGCTTAAGGAGAATCTCCTCCTGGAACTTGAGGATAAGAGAAAAGTTATTGAACAAGAAAGGTTTTCTTTAGACTTGAATGGCGACTCTATGGAAGTGAGTACTATAAATCATGTTTCATCTGTATTCTGTAGTTGAATATTTTCTATTACCATATCACGTGTTGTGCATATCCTGTCTGATTAGTTTTGCCATCTGTTATGTTTCTCAATTTCCCAAGTCTGTCATCTGTATAATATTCCAGCTGCCAGCTTCCCCAAACGTGTGAACTGCTCTTTTTTTTTACCTAACCTGAACTTTGGACCTGTCACGACATCGCATGTGCCTTGATTTTTTTTTTTTTGCGCGACTGTCTACAGGGATAATCCCATCCTTGGCCATCTCGGATATTGCATCTTCTTTTAATGTTCAAGAGAACAGGGACACAAACAGTAGTTTTCAATTAAGGCTGCACACAGTTTCTTCTTCCTGATCTTTTAACATTTTTTCCTCTTGTTTTTTTTCCACAAGCTTTTGCTTAGTTTTTTCTTATTTGTTATTTTTTGTATGGATATGTGCAATTTGTTCAATGTTTAAATTAAAGTCCTGCTCCTTTCTCTTTGTGTGTACTGTGTAAATCAGGGTCTAGGTGAGGTTGTGATTAGAACTATACTTTGGTTTACTGTTTTATGTATTTTTTTCGATTTTGTGATTTTGTAAATGACAGGATTCTACACAAAGACTTGAAGAGTAGGTATTTTATTTTTTAAACCAACATACTAACTTTTTTGTATCTTAGAGATAGGCATTCACTTAATCCATTGTGCTTAGTCTTATTGCCTCAATTTAAAGTGTCTTATGTATGTCTAGCTAGGACGTGTACTGTTTTCTGTATTATAAGTGTTCTATTGGGAAGTGCTGAATCTTGTCTGAATTGGAGTGTGAATCAGAACATACTTGATTGGGTTGTTGGAAGGATGGAAAGCAGACCAGGCAAACTAGCGCAACATAACAGGATGGGGGTGGAGATGAGGTGCCTGTGGACCAGGTGGAGTGTTGTTGCTGCAAGAGTTGGTTTTCCTAGCAGCAACTTGGAATTGTAGACTACTCAAGTGAAGATATTAGGAGATCATACGTTGTCTTTAGAGAGTTTATTGTAGCCCTAAGGGATGAAAATAGTAGACTGATGAAAAGGAACAAAGAACTAGAAGAGATTGTTGCAAGAGCTAGCGGGGCGAGGGCTGTGAACCCCTCTTGCCATGCTTGTAAAGCCAGGGTGAATACTGAGGAGGGAGTGGTGGAAAAGGGCAAGGATGAAATTGTGGAGACTGTGGCGAGTGTCTGAGTCCGTGCAGAGCAGGACAAGCTCATGCGTGAATGGTGGGGATGGTGTGGGTGGAAGGAGTGGGAAAATGAAATGTGACACAACCAAGGTTAGAAAGTTTAGCACTTGATAGTATTAGAGGTTAGAAGGTTAGAAATTATCATCTTTATAGTATATAGAGATGTGTTTGGAATAGAGATAGAGACGTGTTTGGAATGGATGGAATGCACCCAATCTTGAGGGGATGGAGGTGCTTGGACGACAAGTAAAACAGCGGCTGCAAGAAAATTTTATGGAAGCGGTACGTTCCGAATGACAGAGAAATTGATCAGACCTAATAATACGAAAGTAGGGACTGATAAATATCAGAGGCTTGGGGCGTGGAAAATATGAAGACTTCTGCAAAGAGTTGGATCAGATGGGTATAGTAGAAGTAATTAAAACTCAACTGAGAGAGATTGGATGTCTGAGAAGCGGGACGTATGAGATGTTTTCTAAGGGAAGGAAAAAACAACAAACAAGGGGCGGGGGAGTTGGGAGTTATTGTGCATATGGAGGCTGGGTATGACGTGGAGGAAAAAAGTGTTGGTGAAAGCGAGATTATCGAGGATATACTTGCTATTAAGATTAGGCATGCAACAACTAAAAATGCAAGGGTGCAAATGGTAGTAAATACCTACAAATTGAACTGCCCAGTGCATTGTGAACTTTTAATTTTTTACCCTAGTAAAAGATTTTTTATGCAGCGTGAATGACCGATCTAAAGGTCTTGACCGGAGGTCAGATCTTGTATTCTATAGCCTGAAGTGCACCACAGTTATATAAGATCACAGTCGTATGTTCCTAAAATTTATAACACCATCTTTTTTCTGAAATAGTTGTTTTCATATATTGAATACCGTAATTGTTAATATTTTAATATGTTAGAGTTAATATTATAATATGTTGATGTTGTAATATTGTTATATTGGATAATTTGTTTGCAGAATTATCCCAAACGAAGATGGTCTGTCCAGGTACCTACATAGTGTAACGATTTATTAATACATTGAAAAAAATAGATCATATAAAATATTTCGGCAGTATAAGGCGGTGTCGACGCGCAAGTTGCGGCACCGCGGCACCCTACCCACGCCCACGGTGGAGAAGCGCCGCAAGCCCGTCAACACGACGCTGCAGCTGCTGCTGGAGGAGCGTGAAGTCGATGAGGACCTGCGCTTGATAAGAGCAAAGTCTGCGCACGTCGCCGTTCCTCAGCCAGCTAAGCACAAGAGTGAGTTAACAACCTGATCACCTAGGGGTAACAGTTGTATTATATCACCGGCTTGCTGCAACGCAATATTAACATTAATTTCTTGTTTAAGACGTGACGATTTTATTATACGTACGCGTATGCAGAATCTGTCTCTTTTCTTACTTAGAAACAACATCGATTCTGCTTGTGTACTAATGTTTTAAATAAGACGTAAACATATCAACAAGTCTTCTCAGACTAAAACTGGGAGCAGGTATTGCAGGAAAAAGTTTAGGATAGAAACGAAAAATGTTCATCTGTGTAACTGATGTCATAGCTCGATTTTCTCGGCTGTAGTCTCTCTTCGCATATATATTTAAAAATTTATTTTTTGAGGTTAAATAGCACCAAGTCGTGACCATGGCATGTATGCTCTTTGTACTTCTAAATACTTTACGACAGACCAAGATCATTTCTTGAGTATTTTATACCTACTATGTACAGGTGTCAGTTTAACTCTGCGTTGTCCGGGAACGGCACTCCGAGCAATTTGAAATGTATGAATAAGTTTTCCCGAATACCATCACTTTGAATTTTGGCAGTTATAACAAGTCCAATATATGCTAATTAAAGGAACAGCCGTAATTTACATATACCAATTAAAAATATATATTTTAGGTCCCTTTCTTCTCGCTTCTGCAATAACTTATTATTCTTCATCTAAGAATAAATTTTAATACTTGGGTGATATCATGCCACGATAAGTATCTTGGATACGCGCCCGAGCAGTCCCTATATATTTACGGTGCTAGGTTTCAACGAAATACACGATATTTGGCCAATATGTCGAAGATAAATGATGAAAGTATTACGCGCATTCATTATATCCATGTAAAACTTACCAAATGCCTGTTGAACTTTATTAAAAATGATGATAATCTTTCTTATTAGATCTCTCTTACTCTCTGTAATCAGACCTATATATTTTTCGTTCAAGGAATAATTCCATTTACATTTAGACCTAAAGTGCTTGAATGTCGTTGTATATTTGAGCAGCTGTGTCGCAGCATGCGAGCACCAATGACGCTCCCAGCAACGAACCAAAAATAGAAAATGGAAAATTATACTTCGATAAAAAATGGTGAGTGGACCTCCTATATTTGACGTTTTCCTCTGCAATCTCTATGTTTATCAATATTTTTCGTCAATAACTTATCTATATTCTTCGTAATTTCGTGTACATTTCATCTTGTACTACTTGGAGCTTACATTATTATCCACGATATCGATTTTAAATTCACCATCTAACGCTGTTAGAGCATTCGTAGACGAGAACATTAACCAGGGACCATTGACTTTGTGGTTAAATTATTCATCTTGTGTTCATTGAAAAGTGTCACATGTTTTCGCCGTTATTTCTTTTTCTCGGCGCTACTTTGGACTTGTCCCCTACAGGTTCCATAAAGGCCAGGCTGTCATGGTCGACTGCAAAGACGGCAGCAGATTCAACGCAATATTGTCCTGTGCCGAAGCTAATACCGTACGTACTCAAGCTAACATAACTATCTCAGTGTGTTTCCATTTTGATTTGCTCTTCTTAATTTCTTCTCGTTCGTGTATTCCTGCTCTTGATCATTTATGCACTGGGTCTATTAATAACGATGTTATAGTTGCGCGGCTATCTTGGCCGTTCTTATTACGACTAGTTCGACTCCATTATGTTCTCGTGAGCAGATCCACCTACGCAAATCCTGCGACAACTCTCGACTCAAGATCTCCCTTGCCCAGCTGGCGCACGGCAAGTATCTCGTCCGGAGGCGCAACACCGCAATCGCCGCCGTATGACCGCCCTACTCTCGACTTGCCTTTAGTTCATCATCGCATTTCGCTCGTTCTTGTATTTTAACTTACATTATTCATCGTTTTTTTTTTCTTACATTAATTATCGTCCAACGTGAAATTATTCTAACGTTTTTAGGTTAAGAAGGTAATCGGAACATGATACATTGTTGCCCATATTCTTGGTATCCCCCTGCAGAAGTAGTGTGTTGTCATTCTTAGTCGTAACGACACTGGACTGATGTATAATTGTGCATCAGTTTCAACCTTAACACGTTGAGTGCGGCATGACCCTCCGTCAGGTTGTTAGGTCTTTTTTTTCGGACAAATTCCGCGATTTAGTTTTTTTCAATCGAGTTTTTCAGCACTAATTTATTATAGCAGCAGTACCTCATCAATCAATTTTAAAAAGTGCCGAAAAGAGAAAAATTTCATTTCTGCACCGGGAGGAACCTATAAACTTATTAGTATATTTTGAAATATAGGCCTTTTCATTCGGGAGCTTGGCCTTTTCTTAGGCCATCTGACAGCGCCGGTGGGTCGTGCCTCATTCAACAGTTGATTGTTGGGCTCTGCTTATTTAAGTTAAATTTGAAATATTCGACCGAATTCGATGAACCCAACTATATACAGAATTGATATGACGAGAGTTGGTTCATTTTGTCAAACTTGTTCTTTCGTCAAGTATTAGTCATCCTGACATGAAAATTGTATATTTTTGTTACCATCAATATACTGATTCCCATTGTTAAAATATTGCCTTTTTAATGGATATACCAATTGAAATTAATGAAGAGGCTAATAGAGCAAGAGTAGTAACGCTTACGCCTATATGGTTTATCTGGTTTCGAGTGATTGAACTGGAAATTCACGTGCTTCCAGCAGCTTATTGATTAACCTACAAGCGGTCACATCCCGTTCGTTCCCCTAAAAAGACCATTCTGATGAAAGAATTCACGTAAGTTGGCCTCACTGCAAGATTATCCGTTAAATATCACGAAATACGTCTTCCATGAAGCAATAGCAGTCCGAACGAATGACATACCCCACCCAAGTTACATCCCCCGTCGCATTCAAGTATGAAGATGCAGCTAGAAGGAACTAGGACTTTCTGGAATTGCAGCAGCAAACGCATACTTCCTCAAACGGTTTGAAATACCAGCCAGAGAAAAGCCAGGATTTCGTAGGGCCTGATATAGCGCCTGTGCACGAGCGAAACTTATGCATTCCAAATGACCGAGACTCGTGGTTTAATACCTCACGATAGTTGATCTACTTGGCGTGTTACTGATAAAAAAGTTGAAATATAATAGAAATGAATTTGACCCAATGTTGCTGGGTAATTCAACTTTCACACTAACGATATCAACAAGTTGTCGAACTGAAATAAGGATAAAACTAGGAACGTAGGTTTGAATTAATCTTTAATTAAATGCTGAATATCAGCGGTGTTCAGAAATCGATTAGAATTGTGGAAATGAAAACGGGAATGCCAAGGGTGAGATGGTCGTAATTAATTTTACAGCTGGCCGCAGTCAGCAATTTTAACAACTTTCTTGGTCGAGCCGCTCTGGCTACCTTGCTGCTCCATGCTCCTCACCACGTCCATACCGTCAACGATCTTGCCGAACACGACATGCTTGCCATCAAGCCACGAGGTCTTGACGGTGCAAATGAAGAACTGCGATCCGTTAGTGTTGGGACCGGCGTTGGCCATAGATAGGGTGCCAGGCTCCAGGTGCTTCAGCTGGAAGTTCTCGTCTTCGAATTTATTGCCGTAGATGGATTTGCCGCCGGTGCCGTTTCCTGCAGTGAAGTCGCCCCCCTGACACATGAAGTTAGGGATGATGCGATGGAATGACGAGCCTTTGTATCCGAAGCCCTTCTCGCCAGTGCACAGAGCTCTGAAGTTCTCTGCCGTACGCGGCACCACATCTGATCGTAACTGCACACAAGTGATTTCATTATTGATTTTGTCTCAATGGGTAGTTGGCATCAGAAATATTAGCACATTCTAAGACACTACTAGAATCATTATGTCAGGAATCAGTCGGATTATCAAAATATTCAGCAACATGTTCTTGAACACTTGTGTAAATGCCACTTTCTGAGTTCAAAGGAATTATCTTGATATAGTTTGATATTCAAGATTATAATAACAAGTCAAATCAATGATTTAATCAAACTGAATGAATTTTCGGTATTGACAGTCTTTTATACAGCACAGTGTCATGCTAGGAAAGCCAGATCTTTCAAAATGCTAATTGATAACCACATCAGTAAACTTGTCAAGTCAGGCTGTAACAGGTTTATTGTGTTAAAGTTTGCAATTTGCTGCAATTAAGACCCAAGAACAGGATAAAACTGCTTCTTGCTGTCAGGGTGAGGCTTAAACATCAAAATTTTGGTGCTAAAAATGCATGAATAAAAAAATTTAAGACTACAATTCTTGGAGCAAAAGTTGCACTCAATGCAAATCTTCCAACCATTGGCATTCTCGTGACAATGTTCACCGATTTAAAATTATGCAGATTTCATTCTGCTTTCCAGAAAAAAGGGTAGTGTACATGCCAATTATCAAATTGAGTTCAGAATTGAAAAAAAAACTACCTAGGCTCAGTAATAATGGAATGAAAATGTGTCATTATTTACAGCAATCTATTACATCTAAAGTGCAACATCCAATGTTGCACTTGATCATTTCAATAATTAATTGAAATGACAATTGACATTCAAGTTAAGTTCCAAGAACAGGATAAAACTGCTTCTTGCTGTCAGGGTGAGGCTTAAACATCAAAAGCAAAGCAGAGAGTTTTTTAGACTCTCCCTCAAGTTCATTTTTGAGTCCTATAAGTAGACCAGTAAAGTATCATGCATAGTGGCAAAGCAGAGAGTTTTTTAGACTCTCCCTCAAGTTCATTTTTGAGTCCTATAAGTAGACCAGTAAAGTATCCTGGATACCAGCAGTATCATACTTGAGAAATTGGTTTAAATCTTGAGTAAATCATGTAAATGAAGAAATTAAAAATGAACTGATTCTAAAAAAGCTCTGGTTTGCCACTACGAGTTAAGTACCTAAAATTAATGGAATCCTGACTTAGGCTACATCAAACTGTTATCAAAAAATATTCATTTTGCTAGCAGTCTATTTGACATTATTAATCAACATTGACAAATAGGCTATTTGAGCCCATGGTTCCACAATTAATAATTTAACAAAAAGGCAACTGAGATACTGATATAGGCTAGCTTGCCCTCCTACTTAAGCTTCTTAGCTTCTATCATTTAGGTATCAAGTTCTATGACTAACCAAGTAGCTAGGTAGGCTAGTTAAACATCTGCATCAACCAAATCCAATCAATATTTTCACTTTTCAGGCTTACAAGAATCCGCTATCATACACAGTCATCAACAGCTCAAAATTTAAATCACTTAGGTAGCCTAAGTTAAAGCAAGAGGAAAATTTGAAATCCAAGGTGTTCACCTGGTGCCTGTCGATTTTCAATGTCAATTATTGAATTCAACTTATTCAAGTTCGACCTTCAAGTTTTCAACCACCTTGCGATTAAGAGTAAGAAACCCACTGATATTAATGCACGATTGCACGTTCTGCCCCAGCCCATATTGGCGACAGCTTAACTGAACTCTGCAAGTCAATTCATGCAAAACGCCGTAAAGAACATCATACGTTCGTTCAATCATTGTATTTTTAGAAGGCACTTCAGCAGATCCGTAGATCGTGTCATCATGATGATGATCAAATTCATCGCGAACGATTATTAATCCACGTATATCTATATGCATTGTGCAGTTTCTAGAAACCTTACACGATAAAATCAGCTTATTACCTCAAAGACGATTCTACCGGCCGGCTCGTTGCCGATGGTAATGTCAAAGAACACTCGTGGGAGAGCCATGGTCTGACGTTTACGTTAGCCTGCGAATAACGATCAAATGACGCCGCTAGACGACTTGCCCTGTATTCGCGCCCGGTATTCTCGGATAACAATGGCGAGGTGCCGGTAGCGTAGTAATACTTCTACCACAAATGACATATCAAGCGCAAGAGTTTTCATTGCATTTTCGAAGTTTTTTTATTTTTAAAAATATTTTTGCGACGAATTATAGCATTTTTATGCACAGGTTTTGTGAGATTGGTATATTCCAAGCGCTAGTTTTTATCGCGGATTCTTTGAGTCTGGCATGGAAAGTTCCAGAAAAGTTACTAAAAATATCTCTATGCTGCATAACAATTATTGAAATGAAAAAAAAAAAATCGCTTTTTGTCATTTGAAGAACGATTAACGATGTTAGTTATAAAAAGTTTAAATTATATTATACCACAAAAAAAATTAATTTGATATAATTATTTTATCAGGCATTCATTGTAACTTGTTATTAATTTTTCACTGCCGGAAAAGGAACTGAATTCACATAAAAAATATGTGCACTTGGAATAAGTTACCAATGCGTAATATTTAACGGCATTTTGCTCGAAAAGTCCGACGTATATGCGGTTATTTTTTTCTGGTAGAACTTGTCGCCACTTTGACGTCAGATTCGCGAATCCCGAGTGAATACATAATTTATTTTCAAATGAAAACATATAAGCAATTTAGCGTCGGGCATCGACATATTTTTAATTTAAGTTCGTTCTAGATTCAGTTTCGTTCTATCGGAACTACTTGAATGGCGAGAGGGAATCGTGACGTGAAACCTATCAAAACGCAAATTCATTGCATGATCATCTGATTTTTCTCTGGTCCAGGCCATAGAGAATGCACCAACTGAAATTCATGCTACCGTAGCAAGGTTGCGCAGATAACGCGCAACCTCGGAATAAATATCGTATCAACGAATCTTTGAATTTACAGACCAAATTCCGTTTAAGACGAAGTTGTGTTCAAAATTTTCTCGGAAACAAGTTTCGAATTTAGCAAACGACAGTTGTTTTCAAAGGAACTGCATCATAACAAAACATAGTGATGTCGGCGCTGAAGAGTGGCCTGTCGCCGGCTAATGGACTATTTCAGAAATAGGCTGATGGCCTATTTCTGCACCGCCGACACCGTTACGTTATTGATACATCTCGATACGCGTGAATTCCTACAGTATCACTTCCTCATAATGATGATTCCAATGATTGAGGTTAGGATACCTTATGATATATTTTACAAGTTACCAAGGAGATTTTCAAAAAAATATAACTCAGTACTCACTGCGGTGAGTGACAGAGAGCGCGTTTCTCGACGACGAAAACGTGAAGTCACGGACAGACGGACATGGCTAGCACAGCAGTGCATTTTTTCCATAAATGAGAAAATGCGCTAGTTAGTGGATGGTGAGGGGGCTATTAGAGTAGAATAGAAATGTTGGCACTGAAGAAATAGGCCCATGGCCTGTTGCCTATTCTTATAATTTTCGTGACTTGATTCACAAGGCATCAGGCCCTTAGAACCTGATCTTTTCCATAACTGACGATTGATTGAGATAGCTGCTAGGCATTTTAAGACTGAACATATGCTCCTGCATAGCTTCGTCTAGTCTGTTCTTGAAGGCGTTCATACTCTGAGCGTCAACGATGCTATCAGGGAGGCTGTTCCACATGTCGGTGACTCGAAGCGAGAATTGTTGTACGCTTTCCTGACAACACTGCAACGAAATCAATAGCCAGAGAGAAATTTATGTTGAAAAATGTGCACGAATTATTTAAGCAAACCTAATTTTACAAGTCCAGAGCCAGCTGCTTAATTGAACTCGTTAGGAATTATTCCAGTGCGAAGACAATGGCCTTCGTCACCTACGTGAAAAACCGAGAGATAACGTAAACACACTTGAGCATTATTTATTAATGATAATAATAATAGCGGTTTCAGCGTTTAGCAGGCCGTAGGCCTATCGCCGATTCTTAACATCGCCGAACATTCACAGCATTTTGCGGTCTCGAACTCGCAACTCACTGCTACAATTCTGTTGTGCTTAACCGCCCGGCCGCTTCGCAGATTCTGACCAGAAACTGGCGCACAGAGCTGGGATCAAACCCGCACCTCTCTGCTCCTATCTTGGTACTCTGGACTTTAACCACTGATAACTTTTTTAATTGAAATGCATCATTACCGACTTACAACGATTAAATTTTCTGCTGACTTCCTCACGTCACTATACGCAGTCACGGACAAGAAACCATAATGTCGACAGAATTACGTAATTTTTCTCAACGAAAGATAAATGAAACGACACATGACAGCAAGCTCATCATTTCATCAGGATGAGTTCTTTGTATTGCTTTTTAATAAACTACTTTTGACATATGAACGAAGTTTGAACGAAGGCACAACTTTGAGGTCACCTTGCCATTCCTTGAACCGTCGGAATGTCTGAGGGTCCAAAACGTCCACCATTTCTGGAAAAATAAGCAATATATAATTTTAAAAATGTTTTTGCTAAATCATTCCGAGCGATCATGCGAGCGACTTGACAAGATTAAAACCACAAAACACAAAAACTGAGAGGGCATGTCCAACGAAAATATGGCAACACGAACATAAATAAACCTACATTGAAAAAAAAATATTAAAAAATTAAACTCTTTAAATCGGAATTCAAGTGAACACATTACATCATTCAATTAGTTTGCTGTTTGTTGAAGCTCAAAATGTCATTTTTACGAAAACAGCATTGGCGGTACAAATAACAAACAAACCAGATCTTCTGACGTTGTATCTATAACAAATTTGACAATAAAATAATAATTAAATCTAGTTATATCACCTCGTAGGAGAATTTGAACGATAACAGGTCGCTTCATAATCGAGCAATAACCAAACAGATAATGAGTTGTTACGTATTAATCTAAATATAGTTCACTCTGAAACTCTGGTCACTTTGAAGGAAGACATCTCCAACTGTTTCTCGTATGTATTGGGTAGTCGGAAATACTGATACAATACTTCCGTACTGATTCAGTACATGCAGGCTACATTTGTCAGACAAGTATTATTATTTTTTTCATCAATTTAGATGATTTCCTGCCCGTGGTGATTTGACATTTTTCATGAGCTATTCCACCGCAAACAAATTAGACTATTGACTCGCGGACAGAATTATTAGCTTTGAAAAATTATTATAATAGTTAAATTTGGATTGAAAATTTAAGGCTTTTTCCAAGCCAGATTGAACACTTATGATAATATTACTACCACAGCTCTCACCGAAACCAGTTTCATCGTATTCTTTGCGCTCCATGGAACGTGTGAACTGCAGAGCGTCCTCGCGGGCAGCGTGTTGACGTACATTGCCATGAACGAGTTTTTTCGAACTAAGCGTTTGCAGTTCTTCGTCGTTACGGCTAATGTACCTGCATGACATGTTATGATGGTTTAGCAACTGTAAGTGCATTAAGATGATGTTATGATGGTTTAGCAACAGTAAGTGCACTTAGCAACTGCTCACTTACTGCCGCTCACGTCTTTGTGGCAAAGCAGCGATAACAAACTTTGGAGCGGATAAGTAACAATTATATCGAAATTAATCATCAATATTGTTGATACAAATACGTGGTACATGCCTATCAATATTAGTCACAATTAAACATTCCAACTAAATTCGAGCTTTCTCTGTCAAACTCAGCGATACTCGAAAACTGAGGTACATGAGTATTTACCAAAATATTGAATACTTCAAGTAAATAACAAGCACTTGTAGAAGCAACTTACTTCTCTATGAGTTCGTCAAGCTGTGATCGCGAGCACACCTGCAAGGAAGGGTCCAGGTTCTCCACAAAGAAAGCCAGCTTCACGCCCAGAAGCTGCAGCTTCATATTGGCTTGTTTTTGTGCCTGCTCCGCTTTGACGCTCCTGAAAATAGTGAAGTCTTTATGATAGTCTTAATGATGAAAAGCTTAATAAAATGGTACATTAATCCATTGCAAGTATGGGATTCAATTGGAAACAGGAATGATAATCTCGAGATGGTCAAGAATGAGGGAATCAAGATGATGAATAAGTGAAGCAAAAAAAGTTCTGGACTCTCCAAGGTGGAGTGGAGGTTGGCGTCGTCCATGCAAGGACTCAGTATGGAACCGCGATAGCTTTGTATATATAGACAAGTAAGACAACAGATATTGGTGGGAATGTGGAATGACCGTGACGCACTTACGGGCAAAAACTGTACGTCTGTACACGAGTTATGGCCTCGGCCGTGAACGGCTGTTCCGATAATTAACAGCTGGGAGAAACTTTGCCATTGATAAAACTACGACTACTGCATAATGCAATCTATAAGTGACGACAATTTTCTACGCAATATTGCTATATGTACGACCAACATCAACACTACGGCCGCATTGGCCGTGGCTCAACCGTGAAATAACACGAGAAGCTACAGGACATGCGGCAACTTGGATGGTGGCTAACATTGCCTTCCGCTAAGTGTTTAAAGAGGAGATTTATGGTCCAGTAAGTCCTTGCAGGCTTGCTGCCATTGCTCTGGGGAGGTTTCTTCTTTGTGTTGTACAGCTAGTGTTTGTTGATCTGAAGCACTTGAACCCTGCCATGCATCTCGTACGCCATGTTACAGTCCTTTACAATTCCACACTAGTAAATAGCCCAGTTTTTTAAATAAATAAACTAACGACGGTCGAGACTGGTGAATTAAAAGTTACTCTTGCGATTGGCTGTAAACATGCAAACGAACATGGGAAATCTTTGATATTGTGTTAAATTTATAATAATCCAAGAAGGAAGATGAGTTCTCTGTACAATGCATTGCAAAAACCTAAGATGGTCCATTGTAGCACAGCAGGAGACCCTCAAAATTGAATTAGTAATGTAAGAATGCTGGACAGCTGGAGCTTGCTAAGCCACAAGAGACTACCCAGACAACAATCTGCATCAAACTCGGAAAAGTGAAACTTGTGAACCCAGGACAAATACAGTAATAAAGCAATAGCTGCACTCTTCAGCCAATATCAGCCATGCTTATAAGTTTTTTTTTATAAAACCATTGGTTTCAATGAGGCTCTATCAACAACTCTCCAGGACATTTCTCATCAAAGAACTCGGATTTTGCAGAAGAATTGACACCAAGCACTTCACGGGAAGCACTGTAGATATTTCAGTGTGAGTATCTTCAATTATCATTTGGGAAGGGATCTGAGGTTCAAGACAACTGAAAGCAACACGAGATCATCTACAGCACTATACTCAAAGGTGGGACACTTCTGTGAAATTAGTTTTGCTGTTGAGATGTGATCTCCTGGCAAAATTGGCAATTCTCATGGAGCATACAAAACATCGTCATAGCATAACTTTCCAAATGAATCACCCAATATGCCAAGAAGGGAGTGATTATTATAAAGTTATTAATTAAAAGATCAGTGTCAGATAAGGAGTAAGTAAAACTTAGTAAATCCAGGTAACCCCTCACCTTTTGATCTGCTTCACAATTTGCACAGCTTTGCGACTTTTTGGATGGACAGGTTTCTTCTTATTTGTAGTTAGAAACGTTTTCCCTTTGGTGTGTTTACCCTGTGAAAAAATAATAACATTAGAACATTCATGCATTCAGGTGCCCAGCTGACAATCCACAAAAATCCATTAGTTTGCTAGGTTAGTTCAAATCCATTAGTTTGCTAGTTTAGTTCAAATCTATTAGTTTGCTAGGTTAGTTTAAATCCATTAGTTTCCTAGGTTAGTTCAAATCCATTAGTTTGCTAGGTTAGTTCAAATTTATTAGTTTGCTAGGTTAGTTAAAATTCATTAATTTGCTAGGTTAGTTCAAATCCATTAGTTTGCTAGAGTAATTAAAATTCATTAGTTTGCTAGGTTAGTTCAAATCCATTAGTGAGCTCTGTTAATTTTTGACTCCTACAGATTGTTATATGGCAGTGTGGAAATCCTGCAAATAGAAACCTAAAAAAATAGAGTATCGAGTTGGAAGAATTATTTTTACAGTTAAATGGTCATCAATAATGCTTGTAATTGAAATATTTATGCCATGTAGCAACTTTTGTGTGCCAGAGCTGAGACAACAAATTTGAAAAAATAATTGATACATCATAAATTCTGCAAACCTAGTTATTTGCTCATGCCAAAGATGCTAGCATAGTTATAAATGAAACTCTAGACTAGAGGTTATCTGATCTAATATGCATCTCTGAAAAAGTCTTCTCTTTTTATTTTCAAGATAAAATTTGAACTTTTTTCATAGCTTAAAAATTGTTTTATGGTTCAAAACATAAGTTAAACACTTATATTTTTTCATTTTCATGGCTTTAAAATTGATTACCTTAAAGCTCCAAACTCCAGTTACCGTCAAACAATTTATCTTTGTTTGTGGCTTTTGCCTACATACGGTACCTGTATAGACCTGTATTTTGCATGTTTCAATTCAAGTTTAATTTAGCTAGTAAAAAAATGGCATCATTTATAAAAAAAAGTGGTCTAAGTTACCCCATTTTACGGTACTTCTTAAACCAACCAGAGTCCCAAGAAATGATAGTTTCACACATACGGTAATTTACAAAACTATGCCCAAAATATGATTGGCAGATATGGGAGTGTGAGGTTTTAGTAAAAGAAATGAATGAGCCAATGCCAAACTAATGCAGACCAGGTCTACTCTCCAAACAAGGATTGACATTTAGGAGTACTGAATTGTTTGAATTTAAAGATGTGAAAATAATTCAAGTTTTGAATTTGGTACTTAAACTGTTAATTATTTTGCTAGACCAGTAGACCTGAAAGACAATATGATATTCAATATGCAAATTAGGGTAAACACACCATATTCCAACACCTTAAGGACGTAGCAAGAAATAAATGGCTATAAATAGATCACCGTATGCGCAACTCAAGTTCTGATTGCTTAACGTCACTCTCAAACACCACACTATGCGCCAGCAATGATGAAACCTCACAAACTGTTGCCATATTTATTTAAAAGCCTTTAGAATTCAAATCTACCAAATCGCTAAATTCCGACACTGTGTGTGACAAAATGCGGCATATTGTGAGACTAATTCCGACCGCTTCAAAATCGTAATTTGTAATTCCATCACCCCCTGTCGGAATACGATATCCTGTGTCATAATTCCAACACCCTGTGTTGGAATTAGTTTTTATGTGTCTAAAACCATCTCTTAAATCAATCATCTATTAGATTATTTACCACTTGATATCAGCAAATACAAGTATACCGTCAAACGGAGTAAAAAGAGACGGGCGGGGTAAATCGGGATGCGCGTCCCACATTTCGTAGAAATGTTGTAGCAGCTAAACTAATCAAAATATTGCAAAACTAAAAATAGTGGCGTAAACTTCAACATTTTAACTATCTTTTATGTATAAAGCTAGTAAGAAATCAAACATTTACTATCTCTAGAAAATCGTTGAAAAAAAGTGTGAAAAGTGTGATTTTGGAAAAGTACCTCTGCTAAGGTCTGGAGCAAAAAAAAAATATTCGCCATATTAAAAAATTTTACTTACATAAAAGTTGCACCCATGTGTCAGCTTGAAAACATAATTGATGGAATTTGCCTATCTCAGTCAAAAAAAAATGGCAGCCATTTCCGCGTAATGGGGTAAAAAGGGACACCCTCAAAAATTCATTTACAGTAGAACCTCAGTTAGCAAATGCTCCAGTTAACAAAAAATTGATTAACAACAAAGAATTTTGATTGCATTTACCTTGCTCAGCCAAAAAAAAAAATTCACTTATCAAAAAATTAGTGCATCATCGGTCGTCACAAAATTGTACATAGAATGCTACATAAAGAATTGTGCACCGGGCATCATAGAATGAAAAGTAATTGACCTAAACTATGATTTATTTCTCCAAAACATATGATGGTTGTAACTAAAACATTATTTTCTGTTTCGGATGTTTTTCATGATCTTTTATGTTATAGTGAAATCCCTTGACTTGATTAAAATTGTGCAAAATTACAAACCATCCTGTAAGCTTACAGATACAGAAGAAATGCTACATGGATGCTGATGTGAAGCTTGCAGTGGACAAGGTCGTTGTCAATGCTCAATGGCATGTCCATGGATACAGTAATATCACATTAATAATACGGTAATTAGTGCACATGGTAATATCGTATCAATATTAAAGGAAAAACCAGATAACCGACACATACCCCCAATCTATCTTAATATACAACATAAAACAACTACATACTCTCAAAACCATACATGCATAAAACCATACATACATTAAATACTATTAACAAACACACAACAATCAAATTTACTTTAAACAATACACTAATATATAACAAATACGTGAAAAATCCAGCCACTGATTGACAGTGTTTCTCAGAGCTGCAAATCAGTCTACACTCCAGGATCAAGTGTTGTCATTGATGAGTCCGTCATTCCTTTCGGAGGGAGAGTAAACATTAGACAATACATTCCTGGAAAAGCCCATAAATATGGAATAAAGCTATATAAGCTCTGCACACCCAGCTCGTACACTTGGAACTTTCAGATATATTGTGGCAACATGGCCAAAGAACCAACATTTATGCATTTGGAGTCTGTTGTTCTGCAGCTTTCAAGGCCCCTTCTTCTGCAGGGATTAACTATTTATGCAGATAACTTCTATTCATCCATTCCCTTGGCCAAAAAACTCTTGCAGGAAAAAACGTACTACTGTGGTACTGTGCAGAAATATTGAAAAGCATTGCCTCTCAGCGTTACGAGGGCAAAGCTGAAGAGAGGAGAAATTTCAGGTTTGATGAACAGCAAAGGAGGAAAAGTTTGCAACTGGAAAGATAAAAGGAACGTGCTAATGTTGTCAACTGTGCCTGAACATTCAGGCAATCTTCAACCCTCAGGGAAAAATACTCGGCATGGTACTGAGATACGCAAACCACAAAGTGTTATGGACTACAATACTGCTAAATGCGGGGTTGATAAATCAGATCAGATGACATCTTACAATACTGCACTCAGAAGAAGCATGAAGTGGTACCGTAAATTGGCCATTGAGTTGTTAACAGGAATTGCGGTAATAAATGCATGGGCACTGATTTAATCAATTTTACAGCCAACAAGAGACAATGGGTGTAACCAAATTCAAAGAATGTCTAGTCATGTCACTTGTTACAGGAAAAGTGAATAAAGAAATGCTTCCAGGACCAAAGCGTTCTGATATTGCAGGCCTGCGTTCCAGCCATACATTAGTTGAAGCAGAAGGACCAAAACTCAAAATAAGAAAATGTTGCAGGTCCTGCTATGAAATTATCGCCAACAATGAAGGCAGTTCAGAAGCAAGACAAAAAGCAAGAAGAGTGACTACCTTTTGTGATTCCTGTGATGGAAAGCCATTTCTCTGTGTATCTTGCTTCTCATTGAGGCATTCACCTCGAGTTTAGTACTTTCAGATGCCCAGTGTTTATTGTTTCTGCTATATTAATTCATTATTGAATAAACAATACATTTTCAGCTTGGAATACCGGACGCCTTTCAGTTCTTGAATTTTTATCTTTTATACGCACTGAACAACTTGTGCTTGATTTGAACTACTTATATTGTTCTGATTAAATTTTATAACATTATTATATGCTTTTATACTCCTTTTTCTCTATACTCTATCAAGCTTACATAAGGATATGACCATGGTTTACGTCATATATGATTTTTTAAAAAGTTTCATTTTTAATGAATGTACCATATATGGCACACGTTGCAGTTTGGGACATGCATGCATGTACCATATATGGCGCACGTCGCAGTCAAAGTGTTAATCTACAACATTAAACCACTACATACATAAAACTATACATACAATACATTAAATACAATTAACAAACACACAACAATCAAATTTACTTTAAAAAATACACTAATATCTACTAAATACGTGCCCTTGCACATATCTCAATTCAGTGTGACGAGTAATTCAGTGTGACGAGTATTCAGTGTGACGTTGAGTGACGAGTAATGACTCGTCACTCCTATCTATACCTACTTCCATGAAAAAACACTAGAAATAAAAAAAATAAAATGTCTAACAAACACCCGCAGTGTATTCTCAAAACACATTAGTACTACTCTCTCCTAATGATTAGCCCAACTCACACTGCAATACCTTACATAACTTATCATTTTGCAACATTTAATAACATATCATAACATAATATGTAACAACATTACATATCATAACACAACACAACATAATCCCACATAACCTCACGTAACATAACACAACCTTACCTGACTTGTCCCAACCTAACTTCACCAAACCAACTGTAACTAACGTAACCTAACCTAAGCTAACCTACCCTAAAATATCCTATCCTATTTCAACTAAATCCTACATAACCTAACCTATTCTAACCTATTCCAACCTAACCTAACCTATTATAACATTACTGAACATAACCTAACTTTACCTGAACTGATCTAACCTAAATGAACTTTACCTAACCTAAACTAACCTAACCTGATCTAACCTAACCTAACTTTACCTAACTTAACTTAACCTACCCTTACCTAACCTAACTTTACCTAACCTACTGTAAGGTTGTAAATTGAATTCTAGAAGGCATCAGTTGGAAACACTTGACAAGAGTGATAGACCGGACCTTAAACTAGTCGTTACCCAGCAGTCCTCCTGTGAACAACCCATTTCTAGGCATGGTTGACGATAACCATTACGCCTTAACTCGCTGTGGTTCAAGTTAACCTACCCTGCCTTTATTGGTAAGATGTTCCGTTCAACCAAATTGAGATTAGACAATAAAATATGCTACTGCTATTTCATATTCAGTTGTTATTTAGTGATAATATTGCGATTCCATAATTAATGTGCTTAAATGATTAGTTTCAGTCAGTTCATAAGTATTATTTTCAATGTGTAGGGTTGCTGCTGATCTCGTGTAGACTGGACTCAAGGTGACACTCTCCAAGCTTGTCCTTAGAGCTTTTCGTGCTTAACGATCACCACGGGGACCGACTCTTTCCTTGAGGATCGGAGAAGCCCTGCAGACTACCTTGTTTTAGGAACTCACAGATGTTCCCTGTTGAATCTGTAGATTGAGCAGCTAAGGTGTCAGATTTATTAATGTATGGCGTTATCCCTTGATGTAAACTTTGATTCGTGTTTTGTTCTATTAAATTGTTGGTGTTCCTAAATGTTTATAGTATCCGAGTCAGCGAAACGAACCCCAATGAAGTATAGACTTCATTACACCTACCCTTACCTAACCTGACCTAACTTCACCTAACCATATCTAACCTCAACTAATGTATCCGAACTTGATCTAACATAATTTGACCTGGTCTAACCTAACCTAACTTAATCTAATGTAAACAAACCTAAAATGATCTAACATATATAAAAAATACAAATCTAACCTAGTTAATCCCCACTTAACCTTTTCTAATATAAAGTAGCCAAACTTGACCTAATTTAATGTAACATAACCCCTCCTAACCTTACCTAACCTTTCCTAACCAACCCTTACCTACCCTGACCTCCTTTAACCCTACAACACCTAGCCTAATCTAACCTATGATAGTGTTAAAATGTCTCACTATCACTACAAGAGACAGAAATCTGGTTAAATATATCTAGTGTCAGTTTAAATTTGCATCCCAGTTAGTAAAGTTCATCACAATAATCGATCACAAAAATATATCGATATGCTAGATGATGTCACCATTGTACCTCGCCCAAGCACGCTTCTCACAGGTGATTTAAGAGAGAACGATAACTGGCATATATAGCCCTGGCATCATGAAACCTTACTCAGGCTAATCTGTTGCAAAGTCAATATCTTGCATCCTATTGCGTATTAAATGTAGCTCAGACACACAATTTCTTTGCCAAAAACAGGTGCCTCTGATCCCTTACCCAAAAAAGTTTTTACCATAATTCATCCCAAAATGCACGACCTATTCACTATTAGATATGGATTAAATATTTATTTATTTGCAGTCACATCAATTTCCCTAACTCCACCTGCCCCCTCACAGGAGCGATAGATATTATGAGGGGGCACTGTGACATGGTCAAGGGGCCAGGCAACTGCCCTCTGGCCAGTTGCCTGGCCTAAGGAGCTTAAAAGAGTGCATATGATTATGGCCAACATGCGTGCAAAGCTTGAAAGCTGCGTCTTCTGTCAAGGCCAAAAAATGACTGTGAATGTGTACCCCATTTCACCCATCTCCAAGTAGGGAGTCAATTACATAGGAGCTTGGAGTTTGATTTTACATGAAACTTAGATTTTGAACGGGTGCTTCAGGTTTTTCAATTTATGAAAAAAGTCCACTTATTGACCAAATTTTTGCAACAGCATCCCATAAAACATACTTGAAGAAGCTCTTTTGACTCTAAAAATATTCATGTGCGATTCTTGGAACATGTATTTTTTTGCGGTTATGCCAATCTGTCTCTTATACACATCTAGATGTGTATAAGAGACAGCCATAGAACTTGTTTGGGGGAACATTTTTGATACATATGAAGTTTCCTGAAAAGTGCCTGCAAGATGTATTTTTTTCAAGTTTTATAGTTTTTTCAATTTTTTGGAAAAAAATTCCAAATGATGTTAATATTTTTCTAGCGGCATCTAATAGAACACATTAAAAGACACATTTTTTATTCCACGAAGATTTTTCCAGGATGTCTGTGAAATGACCTGGACGATGAAATCTTTGCCATGTTTTTCTGAAGAAAAAATCTAAACGATGACTCAAATTTTCCAACGGCATCTTATAGGAAACGTCAGGGAGAACGTTTTCATCTTCCATAAAATTTTTCCATAAAAGCTTAGAAGATGTATTTTTTGCCAATTTTTTGAAAACTTTTTAAGAAAATTGTAAAAAAATCGGTCAAAAAAAATTGAAGAGAAAAATTATTCCACACAACGCAAGAACGTCTGATAGTTTTGCATCGTTGGAAACCAAGAGCAAGTCTGTAAATTGCGTTTTGAGTGACATACAGGAGGCCAAAGTTGGCACTGTTTCACGGCCGAACGAATGATTTTGAGAAACTCGCTTGATAACAGGAAGGTGCGTCTGAACGCGTTCTATTTGATGATATATTTGTTTGTTCTCTACGCCTCACACAGCCCGATTTAAATCCAAGATAAAATGCAAGTTAAATCGTGGGCGAAAATCCCGTGGGTTTATAGCGATTTTAACTTCGCCTCAGGCGACCCATCCATAGGTGTGGTTGATTCATTAATATCTATACGAAATATACGTTTTAGAGTGAAATGGATGAATACTTAAATGTAGATCTATTGATTAATAACATTTTTTAAAAGTAACTTTTTCCTCTAACCGCAACCGTTTGGCGACTAGGGCCGAATAATCGAAAAGCTAAAGATGGAAATAAAAGCTGAAAAAATCAATTTACCGGAAATTTTTTTATACAGATAGAAAGATCTCGTTGAGATACATCTTCCCGAATATTTACATCTTGTCATGTCACGTATGATAATTTTTTTTCCGACACACCTAAACTTTTTTTTGGTTTTTGACTCTTAAAAAAAAAAACTTGCCAAGACAATTAAAAAAAGCATCTAAACAAGAGTTGTAGCTTGTATTAAAACCTATAATTCTGAATTAAAACTAATCCTCCAAGTCAAACAGTTTCGCCGCCAGCGCCTCTCGAGTGAGACAATGTTGAGCGTTTTTTTCAAAAATTTTTGCACTTTTAACCGGCTGTGGAGAAAAAACTATATGTTCGATTTGTCCCAACAAAAACTTTTGGATAGAGCAGACTTGAAAGAATATTTTCACTTGATATAACGAAATTAATCCAAGCAGTCCTTCACTAATTATGAACTTTTTAGTAAAATGCATTTTATTATCTTTTAAACTACGGGTCGTACAAAAATTTATTCGTGTTAAAATGTGCGCCCAGCTGCAAAAAGCTTATAAACAAAATTTGAGGCACAACTTTATTGGAAAAATTTTGAGAAAAACGTAAAGTTCTGTTTTTCGGCCATAATTATTGAAATACACAATAAATCTTTCTGGTTCAAAAATTTTAGATAGTCCCAAGCATTCTCTAGGTGCTGTGCAAATTTCATAAATTTTTGACCGTCAGTTCTCAAATGAGGTTTTGCGCCGTTTTTCAGCGAAAAGTTTTTTGGCCAGAATGTCAGGATGCGCCTATATAGGAAATTAAAGTGGACCCAGCGAAAGTGCCCACTTTGGGTTTTACCTGACTTAACCAAAAAGAAAACCTCACCTTCGACGCGACGGCCACTGGTAAGACAAACATTTTAGTTCAATTTTGCGGGCTTACGCCCACGAAATAAGTTTGATTTCGGCGCACTGAACAAGAAAAAAAAATCTATAAGTACAAATTG